CATTAGCACTAATAATCTAGGATCCAAAGAAATTTGGATACCAAAATCAAAATGAGTGTCTCTTGTAGGTGTGTGGGAGCAATGGTAACAAAAGTGAAGTTATTCAAATGCTCTAGCCACACAAGATGAGGAATGAGTAACCTCTAAGCTTAATGTTTTGATTTTTGAATAATTGGTTGTCTATTTTGTTTTATGCATGCATGAGTTTTGAGCATAAATGATTATATGTTGTTTTTCTATCTCACGTATGTTAAAATATGTTATGATTGGCATTTTAAAGTTTTAATGCTTTTTCATAAGTGTTTGTTCATCATAATGATTTTAGGTCAAATTTGGTTATAATGTTTTGTTTTTACAAATTTTAATTTTTGACTTTAAATTTAAATGTTTATGAATGTGATTTTATTGCAAATCATATCTCTCTAACAATTGATATCAACTTTTCAAACACGTAACATTTTTCGATAACTTTATGCATATGAACTTTAATGTCTCATGTTAATATTGCATAAAGTAGTTTATACTTGGATTTATTGAATTTCACATGATCCTAATATGTTTCTCTCTTATCTTATTGAAGTTCAATATTTTTTGAAGTGTCAAAGTTTTGAGCTAAAATTTGTTTTTGGAACGCATTTGTTGAGGGGAGCCATTGATTTATCAAAGTGATTTTATGTTAAAATTTTCTACTTACTGTCCATTGTTATTTTGTACTTTAAAGTTTGAATTATTTTTTATATAACAAAAAGGGGAGAGAAGTATATGTTTGAAAAATTCAATTTAAAGATGAAAAAGGGAGAGCTTAATATTTTTTAAAATATCTCTTTTTCATTAAATGTTTTTTTAAGGGGGAGTTTTCCCAATGTCATTTTTCAAATGTTTTGTTATATTCAAAAGGGGGAGATTATTAAACCTATATTTTGATATTACAAATAATGGTAAAATATTTTTGGCTTAATTGAATTTGTTTAAATGATTAAAAAATAATTCAAAGTCCACAAACTTGAAAAATGTTTTCCAAGTATTTTTTACTTGATCTACACCTTAAAGTATGTTTAGAAATTCAAAATAAATCAAAATATTCAATTCTTGATGTAACGTTTCAAAGGTAGTGTAACACCCCCAACCCGAATCCGACCTGGATCCGAGTCTGAGGTGTCACATTGACTTTTTAAAACATTTACTTGAATAAAATAGTGAGTAATTTAAAACTTTTATAACATATAACTTATTCAAATCGTTTACAAAACTATTCAAAGCTTATACAATTCAAATCTTTTAAATACATGCCAACTAGACTTTTATACCATAAAATACATTTAAATCGTCTATTTTCTTATCTGAAACTTTGTAAGGAAAAATATTGACTTGACTTGTACCTCAACAATCCATAAGCTTGTAAGAACCTGCGTGTGAAACACTCACACGCTAAGTCTATGACTTAGTGAGTCGAATAAATATATAATGTAAACTCTAACTTGTAATCATGCAGAAACAACTATTTTTATCATATCATACACATCATATCAAATCATCTCACTCATATGTTTTTATATAACAATTACATACATATCATCATTTATGTTTTTATCCTGCTCTTATACTATTATACTTCATATCTCTTATTTCTTATTCATATGATCTCTTACATTCATATTCTATAACTTATAACAAATTCTTATATCATCATATATAAGTCATTTATACTCACTCACATATACATCAATATATATTCATGTAACAGATACAATAACCCATATCACATATATATCATATCATGCAATTCATATACATATATCACATACATGTGGTATGTGACAGAAGAGAAAGAACAAGTGATATGAAAAGTTATAAATGATAATGCCTATGTTATGTGATATGAGAGTTATGGGTATAGTTGGCATGCCAAGAGTCGAGGGTTTACCTATGTTCTAAGGAACATATGGACAGTTTACCTAGGTTCTTCGGGACCTATGGATAGTTACCGAGGATCTTTATGACCTCTAGATAGGTTATTCGGGACATTTATACGAGCTGTGGTGACAACATAGTGGTGCACAACCTCAATAGACTCACATATCTACAGTTCTCACATGTGTACATGGGCTAATAATATGAGTTGTAAGAAATGATCACTAGTAAATGTTTACATATATGTTTATTGCCTCACTAAGTCATAGACTTAGCGTGTAAGTGATTTACACATAGGTTTCGAGAAGAGTAAAGAGCAATGTGGAGCAAGACAGGTCAGTTCTCCTTACCAAAGATCAGATCAGAAGAAAGGTGAATAATATGTATTTTAATAAATGAAGTTCTAGTTGGCATGTATTCAAAATGATATATTGTATAAGCTCTGAATAGTTCTTTAAATGTTCTGAATAAGTTATATGGATAAAAATTTTAAATTACTCACTATTTTATACAAGTAAATGTTTTGAAAAGGTCAATGTGACACATCGGACTCGGATCCGGGTCGGATACGAGTTGGGGGTGTTACAAGTATAATGCTCAAAGTTTCAAGAATTTCAGCTTGATTTTGAAACCCCCTGTACTTGGTTTCGAAACCCTCCTGACTGGTTTCGAAAACCCCTTCCTGGTTTTGAACGGTCACATTTTTTCAAGCTGGGGGTTTTGAAACCCCTGTGCATGAATACTAAAATTGAGGAAATTAAAGGCTTTCAATGGCTCCAAAACATCCCCAATAGTTAAAAACGACCACAAGTTCATTCCAATATATAAAAACACCCCAAGAACACTTGAAGAAGGTTACTACTCCTATCGAAGATTAGAGATCAAGAGAAAAGAGTTTTCAATCTCATTTCTTTCATTTTTCTCTTGTACATAAATGTATAGAGCTTAATTGCATATCCTTTGTTTTTATTCTAATGAGCTTATTCCTTGTAAACACTTATCTAGAGAGGTCTTTTGTTTACACGAATCAAACCTTGTAAAAGCAGAGTGGTTCTAGTTAAGCCTTAGAAAAACTAGAGTGATTATATCTTAGCCATTGAAAAGATAGAGTTGTAAGGTTACACCTTATCTTTAAAGGTAAGAAATGTAATACCCAAAATTATAGTAAGTAACCAAAAAATAAAATTTGAAAGTTTGGAATCAAAAGTGTAAATTTGGGAAAAGTTCAAGGACCATAATTGTAATTTTTCCCAAAAAGAATTTTTATTCAATAAATGAATAATTCTCCTTAAGACTAGTATTTTTGTGGGTTTTCAGATTTTTGATGCGTGATTTATCGAAAAAGCTCTTAAGCAATAAAGTTTTGTAAAATATTCGGATATTCGGATCGAATCGAAAGTTTAAAAAAATTGAAGGATGGTAGTACGAGGATATTGGGCCCTCACTCATATGACTCTTGTATTATAGATTTCACATGATAATACAGTGGGCAATAGTTTGATATGAATAAGAAAAATATGAAATCAAAATGATCTAATTTGGAAAAGAAATGTACAGTTTTGCAATGATCTAATCTGAAACAAAACATATAAATCTCAAATGACACATCACAGTCTGATTTACATATTTTTTATAGTAAATTCTTATTATGAGTTATGATTTGACGTTATACATATTTTATTTTAATAATGTTTTTATACGATATGATTTGTTTATTTGTTAAAATATCTTATTTATTTTATTTTACTCGGTTGCCTCACTAAGTGAAAACTCAACGTGGGAGTGTTTCACATGTAGGTACAAGTGAACGAGTAAAGTAGGGAGCGAATCATCATCATCTTAAGGAAGTCAGATCTGTCATCAAAATCAGTAAGAACATCATGTTTGTTATTTTTATTAGTTAGTGGCATGTATATTAAGAAAGTTTTTAGCCGCTATAATTCAAATATGTCGAGCTTTATTCTATCTAAGTTATGTATGTTTAGTTTTTAAAAAGACTTTATTAATAATTTATTAAATCAGATTTAGTTATGATTGAAACTATTTTTAAATCAAACAGTTTTATTTATGATATATTACAATACTAAATTGTCTAGTTGTGTCTAAAAATAGATTCAATTTTGATATATTTAAATATTAAATTACACTTTTACTCGATAAAAATAAATTTTTGATCAAATCTGAATTTCAACAATGAATTTTAGTTAAAGCTAAATCGTAAAGTGAGATTTTTTTTATCAATTGAATGGATAATAAAGGTCACATTTTGAGGTTTTAAAAGAAATAACTTTTTATACGTGTTCAAATAATAAATGTTTGTATGAATGAGTTGACATCTTTGACTCGTTTGCGGGTAAGTATATGGGTTAAGGGTGTTACAAGAACAAATTAATTAATTTGTTGAAATCTTTAGTGGTGAAAAGCTAAGGTAGTGAATATATACTTTGGTTGAGAAAGTTGAATCACTATAAATCGATTTGTGCCAAAAGTTTTTTTTATGTTGTTGTTATTCAAGTTTCCACCAAACTCTATCAAAGGCAATTCACGCCTCTTGACAGCTTTCGGTTGATCGATCAAGCCTAACGTAGATTTTTTTTAATTTCACAATTTTTAAAGGAGTTTTACGAAAATTTAAACTAATAAAATGATAATAGATGATAAGATGAGTTTTATCGATGTTTAACATGGTTAAAAAGGCATAAAAATGACGGTTTTTAATGAAGATAAAAAATAAATAAAAAATCTTAATTTTTGTAAATAAAATGAAGAGATAAATATATATATTTTATTTTCAATTCAGTATCAAAACTATCACATCATCAGTTATTTTTGAATTTAATGCTCAATACTGTAATTGAAACGTAAACTAACATTTAATGTTAATTTTTTTTAATTTAGTGCCATTATCAATATACAATCTAAAGTTTATTGTCTAATGATGTAGTTTATCTAATAATATATTCCATTGTTTGTATCTACTTTGCATGTGTCAAGCCACGACGTCGCATTGGCGCTAGTGTTCCCTGTTCGGCGAAAGACTAGTTTTTTATTAAAGAAAGGAAATGCCAAATGATTTAAGGTACAGCTGCTCTAGCTTAGTTGCTTGTAAATGGCGAAAAAGACGAGAGAAGCCATTTCCATGGCTTCAACTTTGCCGACGTCTCTCTCTCCTCCGCCGGTACCTATGGAACTTCACGTATCCAACCGTCAAAAGCTGCTCAATTCTATTCGCCAACACCTCTCCGACGCATCTCGCCCCCATCACGGCTTCGTTCTCCTCCAGGTACTCTTATTTAAGTAATGTTTCAATTACTTCCACTCACAAGTGCCTTTATTGAAGTTAAAATTTATCGGATCAATCAATCGAACAGGGTGGTGAGGAGAAATCGCGCTATTGCACTGATCACCTCGAGCTCTTCAGGTACACCGACCTTGCGTTTCTCTTTAAAACTTTAATTAAATAACAATTCGTTCGAAGAAATAAAATTACTGATAATTAATTGGTTTTCAGGCAAGAGTGTTACTTCGCTTACCTGTTTGGTGTGAGAGAGCCTGGTTTTTATGGTGCTATTGTAAGTTCTTTGTATTACCTTTTAAAAAATATTACGAGCTTTTTAACTACTGATTCAATTCTTAATCGTAGGGTTAATTTATAAACTGTTGAAGTTAATGAATCACTTTTCTTAGCATTAAAGGACATTGCAACTGGAAAATCCATTCTATTTACGCCTAGGTTACCTGCTGATTATGCTGTTTGGATGGGAGAAATAAAGCCAGTTTCCTACTTTCAGGTGACTATTGTAACGGGTTTTTCCGGTTTGTTATGCCAGTGCTTTGTTTAGTTTATTTTATGTTTGCATTTCTGTTGGCAGGAAAGGTACATGGTTAGCATGGTAAACTACACTGATGAGATTGCTCAGGTCTTGGTTGACCAATATAAGGGTTCTGGAAAACCTTTATTGTTCCTCTTACATGGGGTTAACACCGATAGCAATAATTTCTCAAAACCTGCAGAGTTTGAGGTTTTACATCATGCCATCTGTTCTACTTTCATTTGCCTTCTTCCTTTTGCTTTTAGAACCCCGTTATATTGTTTCTCAAGTTCTAGCTTATTTTTCTATTGTCGGAGTTATTGGATTCTGCACGCCTTTGACACAAGCTTATGGTGTTATGTAAAAGTACCGTATTGTTTGTTTTGAGACTTATCTAGTTTTTCCTCCTTATCTTCATTTTAGGGAATAGAAAAATTTGAGACAGATTTGACAACTCTGCATCCTATATTGACCGAGTGCCGAGTTTGCAAGTCAGACTTGGAGCTTGCTCTTATCCAATTTGCCAACGATATAAGTTCTGAAGCTCATGTTGAGGTAGTCATTTATTTCATAGCTTGAACAACAACTGCATGTAGTTTTCTCAGCATATATAAGTAAATGATCATCAGTTATTATTATTTTTTTGGTACAAATGATTATCAGTTATAATCCATCATTCTACATGATCTACAATTTACCTTGCAGCCATTTACTTGGTTCTTCTTCTTTGCTTTCTTCATCTTGTACTTCACCTAAATTGTTAGTTTCTTGGCAGATTCATGTTTTCTTTGTGTAATGTTGAGAATGATAATTTAACATATACTTGCTTTTCTACTTAACTAGGTTATGAGAAAAACCAAAGCGGGCATGAAAGAGTATCAACTGAAAAGCATGTTTCTTTATCATACCTATATGTACGGTGGCTGTAGGCACTGTTCATATACATGTATTTGTGCTACTGGTGAAAACAGGTGAGGATTATCTCAGGTTCCTGATTGTTTCTTGTTTAACGTGCAATGCGGTAATAACTGCACATTAATAATGTTTTCACGCCCATTTTCTCAGCAGTACCTTTTAAATGAAGCACCAATAAAATAAAACCTGGGATAGCTACAATTGTTTTAAATTCCACTATAATATTTCATTATCATGAAACATTTTAAATGTCAACAATTTGGCACTCTGCTTTCCATTCTGTATAGTTTGCAAATTCTGATTTTTCTTTTGGAACGTTTTACTTGTTCTACAATTAATATTTGCATATGAGATATCGGTGTTTGGTCAAAAATAATTATCCTTATGTTTCTCTGGTGCAGTTCTGTTCTACATTATGGACATGCTGCAGCTCCTAATGACAGGGTTTGCTTTTCATCATTTGTCCCATAGTGCTTGAAATATATGTTATTTTCATCTGCTCATGAAACACACGATCTCATTAGGTTTGGTTAATGATGCAAATAACACTAAGAGTTTCCAATTTATCTATTCAAGTTAATCTGATAAACTGGGAGTAGTTGGTGAGGTTTTAACATCATATGTCTTTCTTGCAGATCTTAGAAGATGGAGATATGGCCTTGCTTGACATGGGAGCTGAGTACAGTTTCTATGGATCTGACATTACGTGCTCATTCCCTGTGAGTATGTCTATTTCTTGTGCAATTAATGTATTTGCTTATGTGTTGGATGCTGTAAATGGGCTACCCACTTTCAATCGAGGCATTTAATTCAGCTTCACGAAAGAAACTCAATATTCTGACATTTTGACTCCTTTCCTAGTTCTCTCAGTTTTCTGGTTTAATTTTGAAAAGCTATTGACCATTGCGACTAATTAATCAAAAAAGGGGAAAAAGTGAATTGGGATAGTATCTTCCATTTGTATTTGCCCTAAGACTTGAAGCAGTTCTTGGGTTTTTCATGTCCAATTCTTATCACTTGCATGGAGTCGAGTACGTATTTTTGTGACCTTTGGGGCTGAGTCCTTTTGTAGCAGTAGACTATTGGGATATTTAAATTTTCTACACCATCCAGAGAATACTAGTATATGTCTTAAGAAAATAAAAAGTCTACCATGCTAGTATGCTACAAGGATTCTGAGTAAGCTGCTTATTTGTTCTCTAGTATACAGTGATATATAAGCTTTCTCCTAAAGTAAATCCTACCATGTATGCAGGTGAATGGGAAATTTACAAGCGACCAGAGCATTATATATAATGTAAGTCTGTATTCTTTGATCAGTGGGTGATAGGAACTATATCAGGTTTCCTCCAATGGGAATCCATATTGACTATTGAATAAAAAAACTAGCCTTTCGATTTAAGTTGTCATGGTTTGATCTTCCTTTCCTACATTCTATGTTCTGCAGGCTGTCCTAAATGCTCACAATGCGTTATAACTGCAATGAAGCCTGGTATAAACTGGGTGGATATGCACAAGTAAGGGCAAAGAACAATAATAATTGTGAATTTGTGATATAATTTTCCTTTTTTATTTTCTTTTATCTTTAATATGTATTGTCCTGTTTTCTTTTTATTTGTTGAAGGCTAGCTGAGAAAATCATTCTGGAGTCACTGAAAAAGGGCAACATCCTTGTCGGGTAAATTCTATTTCCTTAATGATGCAATTTTTTCTGTGATTCACCTCTTGTTTCTACTATTAAAAGTGAATCTTATAAGTAGGCTTCATTTTTTTTATTGTAGAAACATTGATGATATGATGGTTGAACGAGTGGGTGCTATATTTATGCCTCATGGTCTGGGCCATTTATTGGGTATTGATACTCATGATCCTGGTGGTTATCCAAAGGTCCTTGTGATTAATTTATCTGCTTATGAATTCTATCTGTGCTCAGTGCTAGTCTTACTTTTCATCTCATTTTTGTCAGTAGCTACAATTTCAATTTTTTGTTTCCCTTATGGGTTTTTATCGGTTAAAATCTTGCAGGGTGTAGAAAGACCAAAAGAACCTGGTTTGAAGTCTTTGCGTACTGCTAGACAACTCCAGGAGGGAATGGTAAGTGCTATATTTTTGCCTTTTTTCTTGTCAAATTGATTTTCCACATTTACGGTTATGATCAGCACAGATTTGATGTATGCATATGTACACTGGTTGAACATTTCATTTATTTTTGGTACTTGTGTAGTTGAACGATATCAAAATGTTGGACAAGTATTTCTAAATTCATACTTGTTTCATTTACAAAAGCGTTGGTTAAGTTTGAATTTGAAAACTATGTTCGTATGACTATCTTTTATTTAAACTACAACACAACCATTTGGTGGAACTAATGGCTGCCTCCTTCCAAAGACTACAAGTCTACAATTCAAGGTCCCAAATCCCGATACCAACTGTTCCAATTAATTATTGCTTCTCTGCTCATAATTATGCTTAGTCAACTGTACCACTTAATGTGCTTCGGTAGAACAGAACTTGCGACATATTGATTATTTTTCTCGAGTTAAACCTGTGACATCATGGTAGTATGCGCATTTAAATTGTTTTTTTTAAATGAATTAGTTTGCATTAATTCTATTAGTATGAGTTTCTTCTTAGAAGTGATATTGTTCTTTCTCGCAAGAAGTTCTACACATGAATTCAATTAGTGCGTCAAACATGCACTGAAGCTTTCATCTTCATGTTGCAGGTGATAACTGTGGAGCCCGGATGCTATTTCATTGATGCATTGTTGGCTCCAGCTATGGAAAATGCATGCACTTCAAAGTTCTTCAACCATGAAACGATAGACAAATTTAAAAATTTTGGAGTTCGGATAGAAAGTGACGTGGTATTCTATTTTACTTGATTGTCATTCAAGTCCACAATTTCCTTCCTGATTTTAATTACACGTATAAGTTGTCTGTCTATGTTTCGATTGTAGTTTAAAAACTAATCACCTCTATCACAGATTTACATCTACGATGTTAATAAACATAAGCAAAACTCACGTGTCATGGCATCAAAACCAAGTTTTGGCCATTAAAGAACTGAAGGGACAGTTTTAGCTGAGAATCTTTTAGTATGTTACTGTGTCCTAAGTTCTGACAATTAAGCTTTATGAATCTGCTTGTTGGTGTTCAAGTATTTAGGAGTACGGATAATGTATTGCAGGATCAGTAGAGTGCTATCACTTGCTCAATACATGCAATCCCTTGTAAAATTCATGAATGCTTTAAGGTCATCTCGTGTGTGACGAATATAGACGAAAGACTTTCGTGTGTTATGTGGTTAGGATCGACTCTGCGTTTTTATTTGTTTGTCTGTTTTCAGTTAAATCATACAGTTCCTTTATTCGACTGCAGCTTGTAACGGCCAACGGTAGCAAGAACATGCGAAAGTTCCTCGAGAAACATGGGAGATCGAAGCTGTCATGGCAGGGGCACCATGGCCACTCAACAAAGCCTCTGGCTAATACCTGAGGATGCACGGACCGGGAAGATCTCTCTCTGTCGGCCATTCCACCGGTGCTGTTTGATAAACGTTGACATGCTTTGATTATGGATATTTTTTTTAGATTTATATCTTATAATCTTACAAAATTACATAAACATTTGCATATGCTGTAGTTTCATATGCCTGAAATATGGATCGCTTGATGCTAATAATCTGAAAAATAAAGTAAAACTACGTCATTTGAGAGGTTGCACGCATACTTTTTCTTTAGTATTTTTCTTCCGATTAATTCCGTCAGATGTCCCCAGATTATGTATTACATTCTAAATTGGTTTTTAAATTTAACCATTCGAATTGAATACTCAAAAATACTAGTAATGTGTTAATCAAGTTCTTCCATTCACTACTCTTTGGGTGTTAAATGTCTTAAAAATATATTTAAAAATGTATATTAAAAAGAAAACTCGTGTACTTAAAATATGAATAACTTATATTTAACATGATTTGATAACATCTAGGGATGGACATAGGATCTGAACTGATAGGGTCGGGTTTTTTTTTAAAAAAAATTCAAGTTCAGGTCAAGTCGAGTTTTATATATATTATGATCGGGTTTCAGTCAGGTCGGGTTTAAGGTCAAAATAACCCGCCCCGTCCTGGGTACTTTTAAATTTAATATATGTTTTTCCATGTTAACAATCTTGACACTATATCACTAAAGTAACCCTACCCTACCATGTGCAGACATGCATTGTACCTGCTCACTTACATTTTTGGATTTCCCTCCCATTTCACTTTACCTTCTCCAAAGCTCCAAGCCACTCTTCGACGAACTGGTCTGTAAGTATTTCTAACTTTTTTTAGTAGAAATTCCACTCTTTTATAATTTTAATTCATCTTTAGTTATTACTAACATTTTAATCTTTCTTTTTTAGTTTATACTTTCAAGATTTTCATCCATTTTCAACACTTCAAGGACCTTATTTTTTACCAAGGTAAGCAATTTTTCTCATTATTTTTTATTTTCGGTTGTTTTGATTAAGATAAAAACAATGTTTGAATTGTTATTAGGATTTTTATACATGTAAGAATATATGTGAAGATTTTCAATATATATATGAAATATTAATTTTATTAGGTTTTTCCAAAAAATATATATGTGAGAGTGACCAAATTGAAAATAATTTTTTTAATGGTCATATTATTTGATAGAGTATAGTTGAATGATTATCTTATAATTTTTAAATATATATGTGAGAGTGACCAAATTGAAAATAAAAACTATATTATGGACTTGTAATTTTAATTAGAGAAAATAACCTAGTGATCAAAAATGCCTTATAATATACGATTTTAACCAACTTTTTTTGGATTCGCCAAAATGACCAACTAAATCGCAATGCGATCTCCGGTATCGCAAATCAGTTTCAGATTCGCAACGCGATTCTAACTATCGCATTGCGATTTTCTAAATTCGCGTTGCGATTTTCCTAATTCGCATTGCGATTTACGTATTCGCGTTGCGATTTTCCTAATTCGCAATGCGAATACGTAAATCGCAATGTGAATTAGGAACATCGCAATGCGAATACGTAAATCGCAATGCGAATCTAACTATCGTAATGCGATTTACATAGCGTCATTCGTATTAACGCGTATTTTTTTTCAAATTCCAAACACGAATTTCTTAATATATCGGAAACTGAACCGTCCACAGTATATCCCGTAATCGCAACTCATAACCTAAAACCTAAAATCACAACTCAGTCTCATCTCTCACTCTCTACGGCGAAATCCGTCCCCATCTCCGAAGATTTCTGTCCCCATCGCATGCGAAATCCCTCACAACCATTCACGGTAAGAAATCCCTCACAATCATTCAGAAATAGAAAATTAACCTCCGAGGGTTAGTTTTTTTAATTATTTTTATTTTGAAAATTTTGCATTATTTTAGGTTTTTCATATTGAAATTGATGATAAGTTTACTGATAATTTCAATAATAGATTAACCATTTCACTTAGATTTCTTATTAAATTATTCGATTGTTGGCAATACTGCTAAACTGTTTAGTCTTTAACCATGTGAAGTTAGTATTTATCTTTGTTTTGTCTTTTGGTTGAAGTAATGCAGAAGAAGAATAGTTTCTAAACTTAAAATCGCATCATTAAAATGAAAACCGCAACAAGAAAATGACTATCGCAATGCGAAAATCGCAACGCGAAACCAAAATCGCATTGCGATTTTCATTTTGCGTTGCGATTTCTCGTTGCGATAGTCATTTCCGCGTTGCGATTTTCATTTCAACCAAAAGACAAAACAGTATTGCAAATTTTAGTTTCAAGAATAAACTACTATTTATGTTTATTGTTTTTGTATATCTTCACAGTTAGTTTTTGGTATATCTAACTTGGTATGTTTATTGTTTTTGTAGAAATTTTTTTCGGCTTCATTGACATTAAGGAATAAAGTTAGCCTAGCCACTACAATTGCTTCGAAACTTTCACCTGCACAAAGAAAATTGTTTGAGGAAACCTGCTTCGGGCCATGGTGAGAGTACAACATTCGGGTGGAGATGCTAATTTGACCATTGTGGCTTCAACAATGATAGCGATCTACCCGACAGTATACAACGTGGTGAGGAAGAGATATGGTTTCATTTTCCACCGGCGTATACTTGTTTTAGGCGGAATGGTTCTGCTTAATCACTGGTCTACGATTCGGAAACGATGATGTAGGCCGGTACACTCGTCATATCACCCGCCCATCATGGTTATCCAGGGTTTTTCCTGATGAGTCAATAGAGAAACCGAACTTACACGTCGACGATCTGAAGAAATTGTTTAATAAGAAAGATGGTTTTACTCGAATGAATGACGTTGATGTTGTCTGAGTATGTCTTCTACTACTTTTGTATGCCGGCTTTTTAGGCAGAGATGCCAGACAACCTATTCCTCAAGAGCTAATATTATTGGTAGAGGACCTAAATACATGGAATCTGTTTCCGTGGGGTTATATTATGGAAAGCTACCTGGACTAAGTTGTCGTCTGCCTTTGATGACCGCAAAAGTTTGCGTGGCGATGGGTCGAAATACACTTTGTCAGGCTTTGTTTGGGCCTTTAAGGTAAGAATTTCTATATAATGTTTTCAAAATTATAATTAATTATTTAACAATTACTAATGTTTGTTATTATATTATTTGTAGATTTGGATATTCAAGGCTTTCTCCAGTATGCGGACATACGCATTAAAAACTTCAAATGATATTCTTAGGGCTATTTCCTGGAAAAGGAAACGTCTGTTGGATTGAGAAGACTTAATACATATGCGACAATAAATAATGTAAGTTAACACAAATACTATCATATATAAACAAGTTATTAATAGTAGACGTTTAACTTTGTTTGAGTTTTTATATTTTTAGGAGGCAAACACTCCATTAATGAGACTGACACCCATGGAGGCTGAGTTTGCCACTGATTGGTGGCAAGCTAGTCAGCGTTTTCTTGATGGCACGAATGATGAGCAGCCTCCACTTCCTCCACTTCGAGAGCCATCACCTGATCGACCCGACTATACACCTCTACAACGAGAGCCATCACATATCCCGTCACATCATCGAGCATCTTCTCCACCATCACCTTATGATAGGCGACCGATAAAGATGCCACGACTTATATCTCCCTGTTCTCCACCTCCACGGGATGAGTCAAGGGAGTTACGTGATGAGGTCAATGCCTTGCGTGAGGAGATCGGTACTCTACGCGATAACGATGGTGCATGACGTGTGGAGGTGTCTACTTTACGTGGTGAGGTTGCCGCTCTACGTGAGATGATAGTATCGTTGCAGAATGAGGTTCATACTCTACGCAACGATGTAAGTTTAAGAATTTTCATATTTAACTTGATGATAAATTTACTCGTAATTTCACTTAGATTAACCATTTCACTTAGATTGCTTAGTAAATTTATTCGGTTGCTGCCAATACTGCTAAACTGTTTATTAATACTGTGAAGTTAGTATTTGTCTTTTGTTTTGTCTTTTGGTTGAAGTAAATTTATTCGGTTGCTGTCAATTCTGCTAAACTGTGTATTCTTTAACATTTGTGAAGTTAGTATTTGTCTTTATTTTGTCTTTTGGTTGAAAGTAAATTTGTTCGGTTGCTGCCAATTCTGCTAAACTGTGTATTTTTTATCACTGTGAAGTTAGTATTTATCTTTGTTTTATCTTTTGGTTGAAAGTAAATTTGTTCGTTTGCTGCCAATTCTGCTAAACTGTATATTCTTTAATACTCTGAAGTTAGTCTTTGTCTTTGTTTTGTCTTTTGGTTGAAGTAATGCAATCCATTCAAGTTTCAATTTGCAGAAGAAAAAGAAATAGTTTATTCTTGAAACTATATTTTAGCAACACTGTTTTGTCGTTTGGTTGAAATGAAAATCGCAACGAGAGAATCGCAACGCGAAACCAAAAATCGCAATGTGAAACCAAAAATCGCAACGCGAAACTATAATCGCGTTGCGATTTTCATTTCGCTTTGCGATTCCCTCGTTGCGATTTTCATTTCGCATTGCGATTCTCTCGTTGCGATTTTCATTTCGCATTGCGATTCTCTCATTGCGATTTTCATTTCGCATTGCGATAGTCATTTCTGCGTTGCGATAGATATTAAGATGATTGCGAACGTCATTTTCGTGTTGAGATAGTCAAATGAATGCCTAATAAGTGATAACAACTGAACAGATCATAACAATTTTCAAACTCAAGTTACTAATACACGCCTAACTGAAAATGTTAAAAGTTCACACAAAAAATCCACATAATACAATGTTTGCATTTAAAAATCACCTAAGTTAACAGTCTCAAAAGGTGAAGCCGGTTATGATTGGGATTTTAAAGATGATTGCGATTTTGATTGCCTTTTGCTTGACACCATATGAGCTTTTGATTTTGATGAGGATCCATATTTTGGTAGAGGAAAAGATGATTGTGATGGCACTGGTGATCCACATGTCAACCTTGTATGACCACTTTCCTTGCACCGACTACATGTCGATCTCTTCTTCTCTTCACCCTTAGACGGTATACGATCGTGACTTTTTGGTCGGCCAAAGTAGCCTTCTGTCCATGGCTGGTGGCAAAACTGTTTGTAAGTCATCTGGTATGTCCCACTCAGAAGGATGTAGAATAGGGTAGACAATCTCGCCATAAGTCTGTCGATATACTTCTGTAGTGTAGCAATCCATAGCGTATGCGCTTGAATCATCTTGGTTTAGATGAAGAGAAACTTTTATAACATGGCCACACAGATAACCAGATGTTTGCCATTTCATACAACTACGCGTCTTTGCATTTAGATCGACAAGCCCATTTAAGTTATTATCCAGTACTTCAAACAAAGTGTTTGAACATGGTTCAACTCTCCATGACGTTGACTTCACAACACGTTTTGTTATATTTTTTTCTGGCCATGGTGTAACACGATGTTCCAATGTTCCTGTAAATTTAAATAAATAATACTTAGTAAAATATATGATAAGTTACGAATTTAAAGAAATAATACCTGCATGGTTTCTTTTCTTGTAGTACCACTGTTGAATAGAGGCTCGAAAAAACTCCATTAACATAGTAATGGGTAATTTCCGGGAATGACGACTTAGAGCGTTGATTGATTCTGCACTATTAGACGTCATGAAACCATATCTTGCTCCAAGTTGATGTACTCTTGACCATATTTCAAACCCGACATCTTCTAGTGTTTGAGCACACTGAGGCAAAACACGTCTTAAACAGTTTATATGCTTATTAAAATTCACTTCCCGATAAGCTTTTACAGCCTTCCAGTATGTCCATTTGTGATTTTTTATACCAACAGACCTTGATTTTAGATTTCTATACAAATGAACACCACAAAGTCCATGAAAAACATCTGGGAAACACCTGCTAACAGCGTTGTCAATTGAGTTTGCCCTATCAGATATGATTGTCAGATTGTTAATAGGACCTATGCAATCCCTAAGATGCCCCACAAACCATGTCCATGAATCAGAGGTTTCAGATTTTCCAACCCCGTAAGCTATTGGCAGTATCCCATTGTTAGCATCCATGGCTACTGCTAATAAGTTTACTCCAAGGTATCGACCTTTTAAATGTGCTCCGTCAACTATAATAATTGGGCGCATGCAATTAATAAACGAATGAATCTACAAAATCATATACACAAGAAATATAATAATTTAAATGTGAAATGCATGTAACTAACAAAAATGAGTCAACAAAATTATATTGATTTACTAACCGCAACACCAATGGTGATAAACAGCAACTCAAAGCGTCCATCTCTATCTGTTTTGATATGAGTTACCGGCCCATGATTTTTCAGCTTTAAATTGTGACAATAAGCCGGCAGTTGGGCAGACGATGCTTCTGGCGACCCCCTCAACAATTCCAAGGCATAACATTTGGCTCTCCAAGCTTGAGAATATGAGATACTAATCTTGAACCGAGCATTCATGTCAGTCATAATTTCATGTCCCCGATATACCCTACCATTCAAAAACATTAACTCAGCCAGAAAACCACCCAACACCTTTTTGTTTGCCTATCTATGGTGAGGAAAAACTTGGGTTCTTGAACATGTATGTTTATTAATAAAAGTCCTAACTTGAAACATTTCGCAATCTTTTATCATCTTTGCAATCATACGCCACATACAGTTTTTGTCAATCATACACCTTGTTTCGAAACGATCTTTGTTTGATTTGTTAACTTTTAGTTGATAGCCATCTTCCACACATTTCGTATACAAAGCTATCTTCAAGTCTTCCTTTGTATCAAAACAATCATCTTTCTTGATACGAATAACTTTTGTGTGACAATCAACTGCTATCTTTACCAACTCTTCTTCCGGTATCTGAAGTAATTCTGGCATATTCTAGTTATACTCACGTGGCATTTTCTTCGGGGACTTTTCTTTGGGGATTTCTTCTTCTTCTTCTTCTTCTATGAATTACAGAATGGATGTTCAACATGTTCATTTACAGTCGTAACTTCCTCCTCATTATCATCAACAACATCTTCCTCGGCAACGGCTGTTTCATCATCAAAATTCGGGTATTGACCAATATCAAAATCATTACACGCAGGGTCTGTTTCTTCTTCTGAAAAATCATCAAAATCCGAGTATTGACCAAGATCAAAGTCCGGGTATTGACCAAGATCAAATTTCGAATACTGACTAGTACTCACAATTTTTTTTTGGCTCATCATCGTCTAACTGGTCAATACGAAAACCGGAATTTGGTGCTGAAAGTTGATTGGGATTTGGATTAGGGAAAGGTTGTGGGTTTTGAGATTGTGTTTGATATTGGAAATGTGGTGAAACAATATTTGCTTGGTGATGAAATTGTGGTGGAACCATTAAATTTTGAGCACCATAAACTGGGGTTGAAAAACTTAGTTGATTACTACCCGCTACTGACCCAACTTTACTACTTTTAGGTTCAACAACATACAATGTAACATCATCACTTGAAACACTAATGTAATCAATGAATCGTTCAACATCTTCATTGTCGATTAACAAATAAACTTTATCATTTCTCTGATAAGATAGCCTAAATCCACTTAGGGGCTCTAATTTCAATTTATTTGCAACACGTAACATTAGAGTTTCATAACAATTTTAATTGAAGATTCATGGGTAAAGGCATATATTGTAAAACACCATGAACATTCTCCCATGACCATCCAAAACACAAATCTATCCAAACATGATCAACATTAGATGATTTCATTATTGTAAATTAATTTACTAAACAAACGAGCTGCGAAACTAAAATCTGTTGCCGGATGGAGATGGAATGAGTTGCGATTTAGGGATTTAGGTTATGAGTTGCTGCTGCTGCGTAGTTATATACCCAAAATATTTGTGTTGCAAAATTAAAACCTGTTGCGAATTTGAAATTCAGTATTGCGATAGTCAGAATCTCGTTGCGATTTACTAAATCGCAATGCGAATTAGGTAAATCACAATGCAAATTAGGTAAATCGCAATGCGATTACGTAAATCGCAATGCGAATTAGGTAAATCGCAACGCGAATTAGGTAAATCGCAACGCGAATTTGAGAAATCGCAATGCGATAGTCAGAAGAATCGCGTTGCGATAGTCAGAATCGCGTTGCGAATCTGGAAACTGATTTGCGATACCGGAGATCGCGTTGCGAATTATCGATCGCATTGCGATTTAGTTGGTCATTTTGGCAAATCCAAAAAAAATTGGTTAAAATCGTATATTATAAGGCATTTTTGATCATTGAGGTTATTTTCTCTTTTAATTATCTTGTATTTGAACTTGTTTATTTTTGTTAGATTTGTGTTTTTAATTTTTTCTAATAAAAAATAATTTAAAAAAATCGGGTCGGGTTTCTCGTCTATGAACAGGGTCGGATTCATGTTTGATGAATTTTTTTCCTTTTGGGTCGGGTCGGGTGGGTCGAAAATCTGACCTAACCCGGCCATGCCCATCCCTAAACTAACATCCTTGAATTTTACTGATATTGATGTTTTTCTTTCGTGTATCAGGTCTGATTTGTTTGTATTAAACACACGTGGTTTTAAATTAATTGATAAATAAATGGAAGAATGTGGTTCATAGAATACTAATATTTTAAACAACTGATGCACAAAAATTTTAAAACTTAATTGATGAACACATGTATGATTTGAGTTGCATTGCCATTTAATGCTAGAACGAGTGCATAAGCAAATGGCATAACATAATTAATACAATAATATAATTATGAAAACTTGAAAGTAACAATATAAAACTTGAAGACCAATTTAAAATTTACATAATAGTTTGGAAATATTTGGTAAATTAATGCCCTTTTCTTTTGGAAAATCAACTACTTCCGTCCCTATGAAAAATCTACCGACCAGACGCCAACCAATAATAATATAATATTTTAAACTCAAAGCAAAGTTCGATGGGCTTGAGTGGACCCCACCTTTCTCGCCGATACAAAGCAGAAAAGCCCTCACAAAAACCCTAACCTTCGCCCACTGTCCTCCGCTAAACCCTAAATCACCGTCCCTAAGAAGGATGGGTCGCCGCAAAGGAAGCAACACGGCTCAGACCTCCACAAACTCTTCGAACCAATTCGAAGGAACCAAGATTCGATTCCAAGACGCCGAAGACGATGCAGTCGCTACCGACAGCTCCAATCTCGACGAATCAGTTCTCGCGGTTGATAAAGCTACTGAAGATGTCTCCATGGGAGAGCCCGAAGTCTCCTTGGTAGATAGTGATGATAAAACCAGTGCTGATTATTACTTCGACTCGTACTCTCATTTCGGTATGTTATTCCTCTTATTTTGTTTAAGATTCATTAATGCTTGGATGTTTGTCTTACGATTAGAAAACTAGGGGAAAGTGAGGATTTTTTTAGTGTTGGCATTAACTTTGCCTGTGAGGAAGCTTCGCATGAGGGAAGAAAGTTTCAATCTTCGCAAAAATTAGAGCTTGATCGGCTCCATAGTTTGGTTATATCTAAGCTATTGAAGCTCTAGTTATTCTTATTACATCTTATACGTTTAATAAATTAAGCGATTTAGCACGTGTATATTGACGCTTCATACTATTTTATGTTCAGCTAATACGTTCTTTGAAGCTTATTTTGATTTGTTTTCTTCATTTTTTTTTCATATGCAGGAATTCATGAAGTAAGTGTGCTGGACTTGGACAATTCAACGCCACGCATTGTCTTGCTTGGTTATTTTCAGTTATTGATAAAATAGTTTTGCTGTGGTACAATTGCCTTCTGATATATTGGATGTTGAACGTCTGTAAATGAAGACTCGGCTGTGTAATTGTTCAGTTTATTTGAACTGACCACGAAATAATATGTCATGCTGACTTTCTGGAAACAATGATCATTTTGTCCCTGTATTTCAGGAAATGCTGAAGGATGGAGTGCGAACTAAGACATATCAAAACGTTATTTATCAGAATAAATTTCTGTTCAAGAACAAAGTAGTTCTTGATGTGGGAGCTGGAACTGGAATTTTGTCCTTGTTTTGTGCGAAGGCAGGGGCTGCACATGTTTATGCAGTATGTGTTTCTGTGTTTTATATGTTTATGTATTTTCGTTTTATCTGTTGTTAATCTCTCTCTGGCGTGCATTTATTTCATTCTTAGTGTTCATCCCAAGTTTGCTTACTGTGGTTAATATTTTTCCATTCCTAGGTTGAGTGCTCTCAGATGGCTGACATGGCTAAACAAATTGTTGAAACAAATGGCTTGTCTGATGGTGGGGGTTTACTAAAATTCGTTGTGTCTTATCGTATTGATTCCTCTATTTCAGACTACTGTTTACACGATAATTATTTTATGTTACAGTTGTTACAGTTTTGAAGGGAAAGATTGAAGAGATTGAGCTTCCTGTTGCCAAAGTAGATATAATTATATCAGAGTGGATGGGTTACTTTTTGGTGTTTGAGAATATGTTGAATACAGTGTTATATGCTCGTGATAAATGGCTCGTAAGTTGCTGCTTCTATTGGTACTTCTAAAGTCTCCTATTTGATATGTTTTCATGGCTGCTGATATAGAGATGTACTTATGTGATTATTTTTTGTACTCAAAAGTCCCTTAATGATTCATTTATGAGGTGGCCGAGTGGACCTTAAGTTTATTGTTTTGCTCTTGAAAGCAAGATTTTGTTGATTCCCTATATGCTGCATTTGTTTTCTCATTCAGTTTTCTTATTCTGTTGCCTGTGCCAGGTCAACGATGGTGTTGTGCTACCTGATAAGGCTTCTCTATACCTGACAGCAATTGAGGATGCAGATTACAAAGATGACAAGATCGAATGTGAGCATTATAGACTAATCCTTTGATATTATTCTTTGTATTCGAGTTCATAAGTAGTTATGTGCTTTCAATCAGTTTTTCTATTGTGGTTCTTTGCAATTTAGTTATCATATTCTTATATTGCACATCTTCTCTCCATGACCTATCCTCGTTACAGTTTGGAATAATGTTTATGGGTTTGACATGAGTTGCATCAAAAAACAAGCTATGATGGAACCTCTTGTGGACACAGTTGACCAGAATCAAATTGTGACAAATAGCCACCTTCTCAAGGTGAGAATAAATAGCAGAAGTTTTTACCCATGTATAACCATATGTCATTGTATATATGCCTGCCTGAAATTCCCTGGCTTATTGTCTTTGGAACTCATCTGCTATGTTCAGACGATGGATATCTCCAAGATGGCTCCTGGTGATGCTTCTTTCACTGCATCTTTTAAGCTCGTTGCACAACGTGACGATTACATCCATGCTTTCGTTGCTTACTTCGATGTATCATTTACCAAGTGCCACAAGTTGATGGGCTTCTCCACAGGTTTATAACTCTTCTTTCTTCTGCATTTCCATTTCATTCTATGCATCACTTTTACCCCCAACATTACAACAACGCATCTGCTCAAATCTCATGTCCGTGTTTTCCATGTATGACTTGGAATAAAAAACAAAATACAGGGCCGAAATCGCGAGCTACACACTGGAAGCAAACAGTCCTTTACCTAGAGGATGTGCTAACCATTTGCGAAGGGGAGGCAATAGTTGGGAGCATGACTGTTGCACCAAACAAGAAGAACCCGAGAGACGTCGATATAATGGTGAAATATTCATTGAACGGTCGACGTTGTGTGGTTTCGAGAGTTCAGTCCTACAAGATGCGCTGATATTGTCGACAATAAGTAATCTCACGAGGAGCTGTATGGCATAGGCTGCTGGTGCTATTCTTAGTGCATTTGTATTCCAGATTTCCTCGACTGCTCAAGAACGAGACAATCATTTATTAGTTCTTTCACCTGGAATGTATTATTAGTTCATATCAACTTATTTTAAATTATTTATATGATTTTGGTTAATTTTTGTTATAATAAAATTTGTCAAGATTATCAAAAACTATATATTTATCGTCGATTTCATATTTGTTTAAGTTTGTTACCTTTCAATTATTGCTTAAAAATATTAAAAAATATTTATTTTGCGTAATCGATGGAATGCATCTCACAATTTACCTATACGTGAAGAAATAAAGATTTTATTTTTGAGTAATCGATGTTTGATTCAATACTATAATCGTACATGTAATTAATTGTTTTGCAGAATCTCTAGAAGTTATAACATGGTCACATGATTATTTATTATATTATAAATTTATTTTTTTTGTTAAAAAAATTACGGCAGTTTGAACTATACATCAATATGCTAATTAAGATATGATAAAATATGAACTCATAATTTCAAATGACTGTCATATCTTAGTCATCATGTTAACGTTCAGTTCAGCCGATTGTTAATTTTTTAATAGAATTAAGATTTTGAAACATAATAAATAGTCAGATGACTATTTTGTAACTTTTAATAGTCGAGAGACTCAACAAAACAACTCTCTATAATCGGAGAATCATTTTGTAACTTTTAATAGAGACTTAATTGAAAGGAAAAACATACATAGAGATGATATTATAACAACTATTCATAAATATAGAACCATAACATGTTAATATTAGTCGCATTATGAAATTACAGGCAAAGTGATCATAATGCATTGAATATTGTTACTCATTTATATTTATGTGTTGCATTGCCTTGAATGTTTCTATGATTGCATCATTTAGTGTATACTTAGCGGGTGATGATTTTTCACGCGTAAGTAAAAGAAAGCGAGAGGAGTAAGTAGCTAAGCTTTGCATCAATCAGCAAGGGATAATTTCAGGTAAAAGTGATGACATTCTATAGTGTTCTAAAGTTTCTAGCTGACATGCATACGAATAAGGAACGCTTGCAGACTATTAATATAATCAGTATCAAATATAATTTAGTATGTATAAATATTACGATAATAAACTATACTTTAATTATTACTTAAAATGAGATTTTAAACGAGACAATTTTATTTATTATATGAAATAGAGTAAAAACCTCGTTTACTGCCTGAAACTAGAATTGAAACAGAAGCTAAAATGTTATATTTTGATTTTCCCTGTTTACTTATTTTATAATAAATGCACAAATATGAAATTTGTGAAAGAAATCAAATTTTACCTATTTTGGGTTAAGAAATATTTTGATTATTTGATGTGACATCTATAACTCGTGTACATAGACGTATACATGAAATGAGTGTTACATTTTACCTATAATTATTGGTAGATTTAGGTTCGATCTAGTTGCAATATTAGTCATTCATGCATAATTTCATAGTTTCCTTCATCGTTAAGTTTGATATTACATTGTAGTTGATTTTGTGGAAAAGTTATTGCTTGTGTGTGTTAATTTGTACATGATAATGTTGACTGGATAAATTCACCTAATCTAAGTCAAACTCCACAAAACAAGAGATAAAGTCTAAAAGTTTGGATTTCCGCACAGAATTTAAAGATGAGAAGAAGTCTTGTTTAAGATAAACGAAAATTAATAGCTATTTTATTCCAATTAAAACTCTCATTCAACAAGAATTCAAGGGACCAAATCATCTCCTATAAGGAGAAATAAAGACGTAATGCAAGAAGGGGAGAGAGAGATTCTTTTCTTAGTCTAGACACGTTTTCTTTCTAATTTATGTTTAGATTTTTCTTCGTTATGTTTTTCTTAAACCTAGTCATGAACTAAATCTATTTGGTTAGGGTTGTTGAGATTTTGTGGTTATGGAAACTTTTTGGATTAATTTGAATTATTGATTGTTTTATTTAATTCAAAGTTTGTTCATTTTTGGTGCTTTAATTGATTTTGAGTGGATTGGGAGAGGATCTCGAGAGTTTATTTATTTATCTAATATCGGGAGAGTTAGATTAAAAAACGAATGAGCATGATCTTCATTTGGACGAACATTGATGAAGGTTAATCAATCTTAGGGATAAGATTCAGATTTCAACGACGAAAAGGAGCGCAAGATCGGTTGTTGTTCACCTTTCGTTAACACAACGATGTATCACCAAGACATACACAATTAACTAGTTATTCGGGTTAGGGATAACAAGAAAGCATTAAAGAAAGCTCTGTCGAGCTTTGAAGGGAGGAAACCAATTGCTACTGTAATTGAATTAATTTCAGATTCCACGGCAATCGGTTGCCTCGACAATCAATTACTTAGACTTTCCAGACGGTTGTCATACCACTCATCACAATAACCCGACCTGCTCTCTTATTCAATCTCAGTCTATACCTTTATTTACTTGTTCATTTATTTTAATTGCTAATTCACACTCCTACAATCACAAATTTAATTCTTTGTTTTACAGTGCAAGAAGTTAGAATTCAAAGTTTCACCAATCCCCGGGGAGATGATATCTTTTATATACTATAACTTGCGACGTGTACACTTGAACCAATTACGAATCACTTTAATCACACAACAATAACCAATTATATTTGACAATTAATCTATACTAATTAATCATATTTTACAATCCATAAAAGACATCCACTTATTTTATAATTTGTACCAATTAATCTATACTAATATGTATCGATCCAGTTCGCACACCTAGTTTTGATAGGTAAGTCTCACAGCGAGGATTTCCTGCATACACAAGGACTCGAACTTGAGACTTTACTTAAACGATATCAAACTACTTACGAGCTGAACCAACTGCGATTGGTACTAATTAATCATATTTGCAGTCCATAAAAACATCCACCTACCCTTGTCATAAACTGCCACGAACTGTGAAATGGGAGTTTATTAATGAATTTATTTATGGGATTTTAATTAAATTAGCTAATATTATTATCACATACATAAAAAGCAAGCAACTCTGGCATTTAACCAGAATAATTGATCATTATGAAGCCTGCAATAGTGCTAACTCATCATTCTACTCATGAATTGTGGTAAAAGTGATCAAGCAACTTGAGAAAAAAAACTGAAACTTTTAATGAGTTTTGTTTTCTTCATCTTAGAACACAACAATAAATCAATGGATCATTAAGAATGACCATGACAGATTATGCTAAGAGCTTCATGAACAAACATCAACTGGTCCAGATTTCACTAATATCCTTCTTCTGTGCGGTCTCGACATAGACGTATTCCCAGTTGTCGTCTGATCCACTTCTACTCTGTGTTGGTAATGCTCAATCTCACATAGTATTGGAAATATTATTGGGAATGGTATTTAAGGCTTGTCTTTCCCACTTCCTTGTTGAGTGATAGAGAACAAGGGGGACTCTCGCGCACCGTCGTCGCCGTCCGTCCGTCTGTCTATGCTCGGGTATGGTCGGGTCGTGGTCGTGGTTCATCTAGACGTTAATATCAGGAGTTACAGGAGTTATTTGATTTAATTCCATGGGTTACATGATATAATTTCGGGAGTTATAACAGCTGAACAATGATGCAATGAACATGTACTATTTTTGAGTCAGGTTCATCTAGACGTTTCAGCTGTTACAAAAGAAGAGATTTAATCCTGAAATTTTATAGACAATTTTAACCCTATTTCTAGCCTATAAATAGAGGGTTATATTCAGCTTCTCAACTCACTCTCAACATTCACAATTCACTTTCAAAGTGTTTTATGCAATTATTCTTTCTGTGCTTTCCGATAAGAAGAGTAATACCACCGGCAATCGACTCCGATTTCGGATGTACGGAATTCGGTGCAACCGTGTTAACCTCGGGAGACGGTCCGCCTACTGTAGCGATTACACACATCGGGGCGAATTCGTTTCTAAGGCAGTGGTTATACCACGACACGATTTACAAATCTGTTCCTTTTAATTACTGTTTATATTTTCAGTCAGTGCTAACGGTGTAGTTTTGCAGTTCATATATCCAACACTCTGCACTTCAGCAGCTAAGAACACTCTGAACATGCTTAGGAGATAAAATTGCTGACTAGGCAATAGAACAGACTAGGGAAATGCCGAAGAACCGTTCGGAGCACCCTTTAGTTTGAGAATTGAAGTTACCAAGTTATATATCTGAACATTCTCGAAAGATGGTACCTTCTTGCCCCTTGCAAATTGAGGACCATGACCGATAAAAATGGTCCTCATTGAGAACAATGCATTGTCGTACCCATGTGCTCCTCCGCACTCTTGTTGCTTTTTCTTCTCTACCATAAAACTCTCCTCAATCAGCCCTATTATGGGAGGAATACGGTCACTTGCCACATAATACAGTCGACTAGGTAGCTCCTCCTCAAGATAAAACTTCAGATACTTCCCATTCTCAACTCTCCCAGATTCCAATCCTTCATTCATCTTTGCAACAAAATCCGACGGTGAATAACTGGGAGGTGGACGAATCGCAAGTATCGGAACATGACGCTGAACCGAACCAGCAGGAATTTTAATTCAAGGAGCTAAATCATCAAGGAAAATCAGTTTTTTATCACATGTACCAACCATCCCATGGTCTCCAACCATAATTATGGTAACATCCTCAAAAACCCCTCTTTTTTCTAAACCATCAATCAACCTCCCAATCGAACTATCGATCCTAGCAACGGCCTCGGTGATCCGAGGATCATCGGGTCCAACCTGGTGACCCTGGTGATCAGGATCCTCAAAATACAATGTCATAAACACAGGAGCCTCACTGCTAGGCAAATCAATGTAGCTTAAAACAGTATCAACTCTATCCTCAAAAGGAACAGATTCATTATACAACATACAAAACTTTCTAGGACAATCCCAAGAGCCCTTTTTCACCTCACTTCCAGGCCAAAAATAGGTAGCAGCCTTTAACCCATTATTGACCACAGTCTCCCAAAGTGGTTCACCGAGCCACCACTTTGGCTCATGACTTGACGTAGTGAACGCATCACCAGTTTTAGGATACACAAACTGGTTGTTTACAATTCCATAATAAGCAGGATAAAGTCCAGTGACAATAGAGTAGTGATTAGGGAAAGTAAGTGTAGGGAAAACAGGAATCAAACCCAACTCAGCTTCAGTCCCATCAGCAATCAAACGGTGGATGTTTGGTGATGAGGTCTTGAATTGGTACCCAAACCGAAACCCATCACAGGAAATCAAAATGACCACAGGCTTTTCCAGTTTCTTCAAAGGTCGAGAAACGCTTTGATCTGTTGCTGAAAAGGCAGCCGAAAGAGCAATGCAGGTGAGGAATATGCAAGAAAGAAGAGCCCTTGAAGGGCTTGTAGGGTCTTCTTCTTGAGTACCCATAATTTCCTCCTTCTCCCTTCTACACAGTTTCTATGAAATCAAATTGGTGACAAGAGAAAAGCGAGATCAACAACACTTGATAGAATGCTAATAATCAGTAGACTGTAAAGAGTAGAATTAGAATACAAATTTAGCAAGTTGTACAGGGAAGTCTTTGCTTAAAAAGGTACAGTGGACCAATGGAGTCCAAATGAGGACTTAGCTTTTCTGCTTTATAGAAACCCTTCTTTATCGAAAATATTCCGGCCATTTTTTTAACTATCGGTATTTAATTTATTGATCGATTAATCCGGATCGAATATTATAGGACTATCCTCTCAATCCAATTTATTTCATTTATAATCGTCAATATTCGAATCTTTAACCTTACGTAAAAGATCTAGTGTCTTATCCCAATAAACACATTTTATGAGTATAATTAAGTTCACCATTTATCTTTAACAGCTCAAAATCATCTTAAAAAATTTATTTTTTAAATAGAATCTAATTTTACTTTAAATATAATTTTGAATATGGGTTCACGGGCGGGTTTCGGAGCTTTGAAAAGTTTGACAGATCAACATTGAAAACGTAGTCGTTTTTAATGCTGAAATTCCAAATCCTAGTCCGCCAAGGAGGGGAGGAAAATCTTTACTTTCTGTAAAAGAAAAAAAAATACAGCTGAAGTTGCAGAGAGCAGCGATTCAGAAAGAGGAAACTTTTTATACATATATTGGTTAATAAGCTTCGAAAGTTAGTGGAGAAATGGCGTACCCAAGCATGGGAGAAGCACATAGGAGAATCACAGATTACCTAAACAAGTTCTCCGAAGCCGTTTCATACCAAGATGTAGCTTCCCTTGCTCAGTTCTTTTCCTTCTCCTCCAACTCTCCTTCGCTCCTTTCCGTTGCTGATGCCCTCAACATTGTCCAGGTTTTTGTTATTGTATATCTATTGTTTTAAGGAATTAAAAGAAATTTGTCAAATTTTTATTTTTGTCCCTTTTTCTTTGTGATAGGATGCGAATAGATTCATAAAACAATCGGAGAAGTTTTCCCATTACGGTGAGATTTTGGCCCCGCTTTTTCGTTCTCTGCAAAGCTATAGAGTTGGGAACATGGTTGATGCCTACCATGCCTTCGAAAAATTTGCAAAGTAATGTACTTGTTTCCTTTTTAGGTTTTTCAAGATTTTGCTTTTTTCCTTCATTCCTTTTAATATGCAATGTGAGAATTGTGGGAATCTCGCTTTGTCAGTGCTTTCATTCAGGAGTTTCGGAATTGGGAACCAGCATGGGCATTGGAGGCGTTGTATGTTATTGCTTATGAAATTAGGATTCTTGCAGAGAGGGTATTGATGTGCAAAACCTTGTAGTTTTTAATTCTCCTAAAATAATTTTATTTTCGATGTCTGATTTGATTTGGGAATATTGTGATTGTAGGCTGATAGAGAGTTGGCTTCCAATGGGAAATCCCCGGAGAAATTGAAGGGAGCTGGATCATTCCTTATGAAAGTATTTGGTGTTCTCGCTGTAGGTTTTTTATCATCTAGAAATACTAGTTAACATTCTGTATAGACTTCGGTTGCAGAAATAATCACCATTGTTGCTAACCATTTGATGTGGCACATGGATACCAGGGAAAAGGCCCGAAACGTGTTGGAGCATTATATGTGACCTGCCAACTGTTTAAAATCTACTTCAAGGTGATATTTATGTTTCTTTTATCTTTGCTTTCTACTTTGTTGGAATCTTTTCGTGTGCTGTTCTATATTTATCATGGATTTGGCAAATGTATTGTACACTTAGATCCAAACATTTTGGAGGTTAAGATGCATTTAAAAGTTTTTTTTCAGCCCTCAGCCTTTGACATTGTGTTCTCTTCCTCCACCATGTTTACCAAAAGAAATTCAAATGATTTTTGGTTCCAACATATGTTAGGAGTATTTTTGATTTGGAGTTGAGAAGCGCACAAGATTGAAACTGCTCATATTTTATTTTGCAGCTTGGTACAGTACACCTCTGCCGAAGTGTAATAAGAAGTATTGAAACTGCTCGCATTTTCGATTTTGAGGAATTTCCTAGAAGAGACAAGGTATTTTTTTCCTTCCCCTGGAGGTTTCTGTGTATATGAACCGTTTGATGAGTGTTACCTCCTTTCTCAGGTCACTTATATGTATTATACTGGGCGTTTGGAAGTTTTCAATGAAAATTTTCCTGCTGTAAGTAATCTAAACCGTATAGAGAAAGCTATACTTCTTTCCTTTCGAGCTATAAATTTCATTTGTGATTGTGTTTCTTGTGTTTGCCTATCATGATTAATCATCATTTTGACTTTGGGACCTAGTTTGTAACTAGCATCCTAGCTTCTCACTGCTACTTTTATCTGGCTTCACATTGTCAAAGCGTTAGATTTAAAAATTCAATGTAACGGTGATTTGCTGCTCCTACTAAAACTGTTTTGATTTGGCAGGCTGACCAAAAATTATCATATGCCCTGACACATTGCAGCCCTCTCAGAGAATCAAATATAAGGTTTGTTTATATGTGCTTTTTGTAGATATATCTCACTTGCACGGTACAGAAGCCATATTAACTGATATAATCAAAATTGTCGCTGCATTGCTCATGTTGACATCTAATATGGCATTTGATAACTAGGTTAAAATTTTCCTTAAATATGTGCTCCCAAATTTTTTTAATTTAAACTGGTATTTCTAGTCTATTTTTGATGAGTTTTCATTTTGTCGTTAATGTCCTTATTTTATCTCTTATTTTATTATATTCGTGGAAGTATCAAAACTAGTCCAATCTAGTTTTTGATAAAGTTGAATTTTCTTTCATTATTAAAAAGTAATCCTTTCATAACTGTACAGGTTGACTTCTATCTTCAATGTGTTCCAAAATCGCCGTTTTGGAGTGGTAACACTTTGATGTTAGGGGTTGGAAAATGACACAAGATATACTATTCCGACATACCCATTATTCAAATTGACTGATTAAATATAAGTAAATACTAAACCGTCAAGCGAGTTGTTTCACATAATCTGACTTCTGCATTAAATTTTGACACGAGATAGTTGGGTCCAGTTTTTAGCATTTCTTGCTGATAATTCTTACTCGGTTTGATTATTGTAGGATGATATTAAAATACTTGATACCAGTGAAGCTTTCATTAGGCATCTTACCTGAAACTTCCCTCCTAGAGAAGTATAACCTCCTTGAGGTACAGGTTCTAGTTATTATATTTATTTCCTTTCTATGTGATTGTTATGTTGAAGTCGATGCTTTGTGCTCATGATTTTTAAGAAGTTACGTATTTATCATGTGATTTCCATATTAAAAGGAACAAAGGAATGAAAGGGAAAGTTGTGAATATTTTCTTTAATCTTTTGCTGTTGGTTCAACATATCGAATTAGTAATTATTAATGATTGTATTTGTAGTACAATAATGTTGTACAAGCTCTGAAAAGGGGTGATCTCCGACTTCTTCGGTATGCTCTCCAAGAGCATGAAGACCAGTAAGTTTATCTTCATGATTTTTGTTTATATTGAAATTAACTTGTCAAAAAACGATCCAACTGCTTCTCTCATCTATAAGGTTTTTAAGATCTGGCGTGTATCTTGTCCTGGAGAAGCTCGAGCTCCAAGTTTACCAAAGATTGGTTAAGAAAATGTAAGAGCTTTACACCAAATTACCCTTCATGATGTATTTTTATTCATTTCTTTTTGGTTCATAATATTGACCATAACATGCTCATCTTGTAGTTACTTCATCCAAAAACAAAAGGACCCAAGCAAAGCTCACCAGTTGAAGTTGGAAGTAATCGTCAAAGCTTTGAAATGGCTCGAGATGGACATGGATCTGGATGAGGTATGAATTTTCCGATTACTGTCTTCCCTGCAATTTGCGTTTTGCAATGAAAATTTACCGTTCTTTTTTCTTGTTCCATTTTGCAGGTCGAGTGTATAATGACCATTCTTATATACAAAAATCTTGTGAAAGGGTACTTTGCACACAAGAGCAAAGTAGTTGTTTTGAGCAAGCAAGACCCTTTCCCCAAATTAAATGGAAAGCCTCTAAACTCATGAACTCTATGAAATGGTAATGTAAAAGTCATTAAAAACTTTTGAGCCTTGATGAATGATGTGCAGGTTTGATTGTAAAATGATGAGTTCTATAGAGAAATGACTGGTCAAGCTGGATTTCTATGGACCTTTGCAGTGTATTAACCATTCTTTTTAGGCCTAGCTAATCTATCAATAAAGAGCATATTTGACCTTTTTGGTAATGCAACCCCTCCGTCCTTATTCGTGTTTCTGTTTAAATTTACATTGTTAATGCTTTGGCTTTTGGTTTAGGGTAAAGCTTTCTTCTCATAAAAAGAGATTCGGACGAAAAGTCTCCATTGGTGAAGTTCTTTCTAAAAATATTTAAATTCTCAAATATTTTTATATATTTTTTTATTTATAATATATTTTTGTTCTCTAAAGTTTTTATAAGTTCATCCCTTAATATAAATAGATACTTAAAACTTGGATGGTTCCATTTGAGAGAAAGCTTTTCTGTGAGGCTAGAAAACTAGAGAAGATTATATATAAGAGGCTAACCTGTGATTGAAATTAAAGCGTTTTAATTTTTTTTATTTATTCTTTTAATTATTTATTCGTTTAAATTTTACTATTTCATCAAACTTGAATTACATATTAGTCAATCATATGAATACATATGTACCTTTAATTTTTTTGGACAAAAGTTTTTTTTTTCAATTTAGTCCTTGAAATTTACATTTTTATTTAATTTAATTAAAATTGTAACCTTTTACAAAAAAAAAAATTGAGTTCTGATGTAACGGCGCAGTGTTGGTGTCAGCCTCCTAGTGGTTGGGTGAAAATTAATTCAGATGGTGCTCTCCATAGGGCGTTGGGTATGGTTTCATGAAGGGGTCTTATTCGGGATAGCGATGGCCGGTGGATTCTCTGTTTTGCCAAGTTCATCGGCATTTGTTGAGTGAGGCGGAACTTTAGGGTATGTTTAAGGGTCTTTGTTGTGCCAAGGATGGTGGATTCACCCAAGTCATTACGGAGGTTGACAGCTTAGAGGCGTCGAAGGAGGTGTTGGATTCAAAGGTGAATTTGAGTAGGTTATCGGTGGCTCACCATATCGCGAAGCTCTTGGAAGGAGAGTGGACTGTGCGGTTTAAACAGGTTCCTCGGCCTGGAAATAGAGTTGTTGATTGCTTGGCTAAGATGGTGGATTGGCGGCATTATGACTGCGTTGTTTTGTCGGAACCTCCCCTGGAAGTTCGACCTTTGTCGGATGATGATTTAGCTGCTCCTGTTTCGGCCTAACTTGTAGGTCTGCTTTGTCTTGTGTTACCGGAAAAAAAAAATCCTCATCAATCTCTTGACTTATATCCTCTTGTCAATATTTTATCTTCAAAATTTATTTTTTAATAAGTGGGGTAAATATATTATATAATTTTTAATAATTTTTAATTTATTAAATATTATTATAAAACTTATTTATAAACATAAAAAACAATATAGCTACATGTAAAAATGGGGGCATCATAGTTTTTAGGGTAAAGTATAGTAATGGTCACTAAACATTTCTGAAGTTTGCATTTAGGTCCCTCAACTTTTAAAACTTGCAATACAGTCCCCCAACATTTATTCCGTTTGTAATATGGTCCCCAACTTAAATCACTGTTAGAAAATTAGGGTAAATTATATAAACGGTCATTAAACTTTTCAGGCACTTGAATTTAGGTTCCCAACTTTTAAAACTTGCAAAACAGTCCCCCAATAATTTTATTTTCTTATTAAATATAGATGTATAGAAAATATAAATGATTCAATTTATATTTAAATGTATGAATCATTTATATTTTTGATATATTTTATTTTTCTTGTATAAACTAGTATTTAAAATATGTTTATATTTTAATCAAAATATTTCAATATACGAATAAAAATATATTTATATAAATGTATATTTATATTTAGATGTATAAATAAAAAAATATATTCATATATTAATGTATGAATCATTTATTTTTTGAATATTTTATTTTAATAAGAAATTAAAATTATTAATTATATTAAAAATACTCAACTTAAGATTATATATAATAATGAATTATAAATATGAAAAATATAATTATTAAATTTAGTTTAAAAATATATAAATCTTAAATTTATTCTTTTAAAATATTGTATCAACTAATATTTAAAAAATATATTAAATCTATCAAACAATTTATCAAATATAATATTTTATTGTAAAAAAATATAATATTTTCCCATCATTTATTGCTTTCAAATTTTTTGCCGAAGTTCAAATCTCATTATTTCCATTTTCCATTATATTCTTTTTTTCTGGCATTGGTCATACTATTAGTATATGTATTATTGTATATCTCTTAACACAAACGATGGTGTTAGCTTAGTGGCTCCACCCTGTATCTTTCATTTGCGTGACTCAGGTTTGAGTTTGCCCAAGACCCAAATTTTACGTCTTTGTAACTTAATTTTCTTCTAATTTGGTGGTGACATGTGTCACCAATAACATATATCATGATCATGTGTTAACACATGTCAGATCCTGGTTAAATGATTAATTTATTAAATTTTATTTAATTTATGACCAAATTGATAGCATATATAAATAATTAGGTGGTGACATGTGTCACCAATGACACGTGTCATGATCATGTGCTAACACATGTCAGATCCTAATTAAATGATTAATTTATTAAATTCTATTTAATTTAGGACCAAATTGATTATATAAATAATAAAGACTGAATGTATAATAATGTCAATTTCTTTTAACTGCCACTTCATCATTTGTATCAATTGGTAACGACTAGTGGCTTAGTTGAAACAGTTAAATAATTATGTTGTATGATTGATAAATTTAAAAGATCGATGACAAAAGTAAAAAGGGCTAGATAGTTAAGTTGTCAACCTAGTAGTTTACACTTTTATTTATACGTCAAAATAACATTTTATAAATTTAAAATTTGAATTATTTTAAACCTCTTCTATATCCTAACTACTTTTTTTAATTAAAAAATTTCTTCAACAGATAAGAATTATACTATTATATTTATATAAAAAATACGTATCACATGAAATAAGATGAAATTAAATAATAATAAATCTGACATAATTGAATTCAATTGAATTATTTTGGAATTTAGGGTTTAGAATGAAATTGAATTACTTTGGAAATTGGGGTTTAGAATGAAATTGAGGACTGTTTTGCAAGTTTTAAAAGTTGGAGGACCTAAATTCAAGTGTCTGAAAAGTTCAATAACCTTTTATATAATTTACCCTAATTTCTAACGGTGGTTTAAGTTGGGGACCATATTGCAAACGGAATAAATGTTAGGGGACTGTATTGCAAGTTTTAAAAGTAGGAGGACCTAAATGCAAGCTTCTGAAATGTTCAGTGACCATTACTATACTTTACCCTAGTTTTTAAGCAGTGGACATCTTCACCAGCTGTAGGAAGATCTCAGTCTCCAATACAAATTCCAGTTGTGTTTTTGTTATCTAATTATTTAAAGCTCTAAACATGTCTGATATGAATGAAGACAATGTGCATGACAAAACAAGTACTGCCTTGCAGACGACTTTTTAGATCGGAAATCAGCAACAAAACCCAAAGCCTGCAACCCTAGCTGTGTCTAGCCTGTCTGATTCATCACACCATCAACCAATAAAGTTCCTCTGCAACAACACCATTATCAATGAATAAGTTGCCATTATCACACCTCTATCCAACCCTGGTATAAGAGGAAACTCGTTCACGTGACTTCAAAAGTCGACTCCTTTATGGCCAAAACCTTGCTGAAAATTGCCAAGTGAATCTATACACAAGTCAACTTTGAACCCTAATCGGGTAAGGAACTTAATGTAAGTAAATTTGTGTGTTCATGTCTCGTAGATGAACCCTAATCCAATAGAGAGAGGAGGAGAGAGATGGAATAATGGAAATAAGATCTTGAAAAATAATTTGTTAAAGTTCATAACATAATATATATAAATAATGCAAAGATTCAAGCTCCAAACATCACTATTTTATGTTTGCCTCACACCAATTATCTTAATTTCCCCGATAATTCAAGCATAAAACTCGGTATTTTCAGAGAGTAATTGATGAACTAAGTCATTATTCAAAGCTAATTTAAGAATAAAACAACAATGAAAAAAAGCTAGTTAATTCAATCATGAACAAGCCCATACGATAAGGCCATCAGCAGGATCGCAGCTTCCTTCTCATCCTGTGGGAAAACTCGATGAAAAGCCGAGTTCTTGCTCAATATTACCCTCAAATCCTCGAAACAAAGCTTCTTTCTTCTACCTTGGGACTGGGAACTAAGCTTGCACATTTTAGTATTCTTTAACTTTGCCATACGACCGATACTTGTTCTCTTTGCCTTTGTTTTAACTTTACTACTCTTCGCACTTGTCGTTGTCTCAGCTCCAACAATGGTCCCATTCGCCGCCGCGGCCATTGCTCGTCTTGCTTTTCGTTGTCGAATTCCACAGGCGTTGCAGAGAGACTGCAGTTTATATGTTTAACTTAGATTTTAGGATAAGGGTGTTCATTAGAAAAAGACTAAAGTATATATGTATGTACCTTGGGACCTCTAGGACCACTCCTCCAGAGAGGAGTCTTAATTGTGTTGCAATCAGCACAAACCCTAATAGGACTGTTGTTGTTATTATTATTGTAAGAAGAGTTGCTGCTGTTATCCGGAGATGACGAGGGCTGATTGATCTGAACCTTCAGGTCTTCGAATTTCATAGCCGTCGAGCTTTTCGATAAATCGGACTGCTCCGACGTCATCATCTTCCTCAAAATCCTCATCTTTGAAGGCATCCACTTATAAGAACTGTCCTCATGGTGATGATCGTCACTCTCAATCCTTTCTTCTTTTTTCCAAATCGATAACTTGACCCCACTGTCACCACCACTCCACAATTGTCCATCTTGTGGAACATATATCTTAGCCTGACAATCAAGGAACTTAGATACTTAGACACACACACACACATATTATATATAGGAAATGACCATAATTTCATAACCCTAAGTGATCGCATCAAAATATATACCTGATCTTGTTGATCTAGGAATTCCTGGGATTCTCTTTGACAAGAGCCTGCTTGGTTTTGAACAGTGGGGTTGAAGAAAGTGGGACAAGTAAGAGAGGAGGAAGATGAAGAAGAAGGTTGAGATTTTAAGGTAAAAAGGTGGTGCTGTTGGTGTTGATCATCTTCGTTAAGGTCCAAAGGAAAAGGATAAAGGGAAGAATAGCAATTACTAGAAGTCATGAGGAATATTCAAGTGATGAACAGGAACAGCAGAGATATTGTTGGTATTGTCCAGTAAAGGTGGAGGATCGATGTCTTGAAGAAGAGATCGAGGAGAAAGAGAGAGGGATAAGAGGTTCACGTGATTTCACATACATGACACCATTTTCAAACAAGACAAAAGGGTGAAGAAGATGAGCATGGAATGCTATGCTACTGCTGCTCCATCCTACTCAGAAATATTTAAAGGAGGAAAAAAAAAACCTATCTGCAGCAATTTTCACTCTCCTTTTTGATGCCATTTCAGAAACAAAAAGATAGACTTCTTCGTTTCATGGTAGCCACACAAAATAATCATATAATATTTCACTAATTTAAACATATAAAAACAAAAAATTGATCCCCGTATTGATATTCGTGATAGCTAGTACTATATACATAAATTAAAAGGTCTGATATTAAAAAAAATTGTATTTTTACAAGTGACGAATCTAGAAATATATATTAAAATAGATACGTGTATATATATTAATAATATAATATTTTTAAATGAGACGGATATATATAATTTTAATGTAGATATTTTTTTATAAAATATGTAATTAATTGAAAAAAATAGATTTCATGATTGATACGAAAAACTTCAAGGTGAACACCGTCGATATGATAAATAATTAATCGAAAAAAATCTAAATTTTAGGGTAGATACTTGCATACCCTACCAAGCTACGACTCCGCGACTTATTCTTATAATATACACGCCCATGATGAAATTAATAGTAATTTTACCCTTTTGCAGTTCTTTATTAGTAACTCCCTTATATTTTAGAATTAAGGAATGAAACCGGTAGCATCTATGTGGAGTTTGCTAGTAATTAAGTACGACAGACATGGAAAGAATATTCGAGATTTTAATATCGTCATGTGTATTTTAAAATTATAGAATTCAGGGTTTAGGGTTTAGATTTAATGTTTAAGATAATCTAAATATATCAAATGATATTCGAAGAAATATGTTTATGAAAGAAGTTTTTATTTTTTGTCAGGTTCTAATATTATTATGTGTATTACTTAGGGTTAGAGTTATAGATTTCGAAGTTTAAGATTTAAGATAATTTAAATATGTCAAATGAAATTTAAATAAATATGCTTAAGGAATCCGAACAGATTTAATAAATGTGTCAAATGAAGTTTAAGGTTCTTTAACATGGATGGGCATGTGACCTGACCCGTTCGGGTCGTATTTGATGTTTGGGTCGATCGGGTTTAGGGTGAAAAATACCCGACCTGAAAAAATATATAATTTTACCTAATAGATTTAGGAATAATTACAATAATACCCATCTATATATTATTTTTTTCAATTAAGTCACTATTTTTATTGAATAAAAATATTTTTTTATTATTTCGGGTCGGATCGAATTTTTAAGTTATATATCGAGTCGGGTTTAGGTCGGGTCGGGTGGAACAAAAACCCGACTCAATCCGACCCATGTTCATCCCTATTCTTTAATTTTATACCGGGTTTAAGTAAATCCTCGTCCATATATATATATATATATAAAATAAGCATACATGTGATATACCTATCCAATGTTCACCACCTTAGTGTTGCCAAAAATATTGAATGCAGTGTGCAGGCAAGAGACAAATGCAGCACCCCACCGCTTAGCCAATTGCCATGGATCTTGCATCTTAGAGTTCTTACATCTTCTTTCACTACTGACTCTGTCACGTTTCACGTATAGGCTGCTCCTTACTTGTGTCACTGCATTTTCACGTCCTTTTTAACCTACAAATCTTCTTCTTTTTCATATATATATATATATATATATATATATATATATATATATATATATATATATATATATATATATATATATATATATGTGAGCAGACAGCAGCTGAACAGAATCATTTGAAGCTATACAATCACCATGGGGAATCCGAACAGGTTATATGTATATAAAGAAGAGCAGAGGCAAGAAAGGCACAACACACATTTTATATTTGTATAATCCCACCTTAAAATATGTACCTCAAATTTTGTTCAAAACAATCCTTATTTATAAATGGTTGTTAATCTTGACTCGTTTTTTGTACTCACCTATATTATTTTTTATTATTTTTTCAAATATTTATGCTATTTTCAGTTCAATGTTTTGCTCATGTTTTTCTTTTATCCAATATATTTTATTTGTTAAAACATAAAAATATTTTTAATATTTACATTATATGGGTATGACTCGTTGGCATAGTTTAAAATTTTTAAAATTTACACATTTTTTTAATCGTTTGATGAGTAAAAATATATTACTGAGATTAATAAAATGGAATGAGGAGATCTTTATCAAAGAAAGATGGATTATACACTATCTAAAATTTTCAATCTCAACCGTTAAACTTAGATAGTGGATCATAACGCTACATTATATAGCGTGCCATATATATATATATATCATTACGCTTCTATTTTATGTGATATATAAGATAAAATTCAATTACACCATTTTACATGAAATTGTACCCATTAAATAAACTAAATAGATGGTTGAAATTAAAAAATAAAACTATCAATTAATATTATATATATATATATATTTCTTTTCTATTTTTTTATAAAAATAAATATTTTTTTATTTATTCTTAACCATCTATTTAGATTCATCCAATAACAATATTTACGTATAAAATTAACAAATTTTCCACGTATGAGTGAGATTTATATAAATTATACAATACTTTTACCTCATTTTCAATTTACTCTTGCATTGATATTTTCAATATAAATGTTAGAAAATGGAATTGGAGATCGTACTACGGTCTCAGTGGAACTGCGGCGCTTTGATTTCAACTATCGACACGAATGGATAGCAACACCAGAAATAAACCGTATATTTTTATTATTATTTTTTAACATTTTCGATAAAAAAAATTATCTAAAATATTATTATTTATATCTAAAACATTAATGTTTTTAACATTTCTGGTAAAATGCTCAATAATAACAAAATTAATGGAAAAAATAATGTTTTAGGTAGCGTTTTATCGGTTTTACCGGATATGTTAACAAAACCGATAAAACGTCCAATAATAACAAAACCGATATAAATAATAATGTTTTAGGTAATTTTTTATTGAAAATATTAAAAAATAATAACAAAACTAATAGTGTCTTTCCTTATCTGTATATTAAGACTATCACACATGATAATTTCGTAAATTTTAGGTATGTTTTAGTTTTGGATTGGGGAGCTACACCGACCAAAACTTTTTGTTATCAAAAAAATATATATGAAATATTAAAAAAAGGTACATGATTTTATACGATGAAGAAGGCAGCTACGTAGGCAGGTTGTTAATCACATCTATAACAACTGGTTTTAGAGGTTAAAAGAGGAGGGGATGGCGACGCTCGTGGATTTGTCAGTGATGGGAAGGAATGTCCAAGCACCGGTTGTTTTCAGTCGACCTGCGGTGGCCTCATCCATCCACCGGGACCTTATAACGATTGTTTCACTCGCCTTTCACCCACATATATTAGCTGATATAAAAATATATTTTAGGATAGACACACTTGGACTAGTAACATAAATTTTAAATGGGTAATCATAATTAAAATTTTAAGATGGACACAAATAAAATATCAGAACGAACGTCATCGATAAAACAAAAAATTAATCAATGAAAATTTAGATTTTAAGGTGAGAGCGTAATGGTCTCAAATATACGTGGCTCTGCCACAGTCCCTATAAGTCCCCCATCATTTTCTCTACTTTGACCTATATACGATGCTAGCAAATCTTTCATGGGGTAAACAAAACCCTAGTTTGCATCTCCTCGGGGTGATGAAATTATACCTTCTTCGTATACGGAGATCGAAAGTATAATTTTTATTTCATAATACAAAGTAAAAAAAATTTAGTATTTATAAAAATTTAGGAAATCACAAAAATATATTTTTAATAAAAATATATAAAGAAAATATTTAAAATCTATAATAATTTGATATTTTTAGAAGGAACCCGCCTCCCTCAATTCATGCAGGGATGCTGAGGTTACGTTCGCACCCCTAGAAATTTTAAATTCAATTATATTTTAGGTTTTTTTCTTTGTATTTTTTATTAATAATCTAATTTTGCACATACTAAAATTTTATAATTTCACACCCTTAATATTTTTTATATAACTTCTTAAGTTCTTACCCCTTAACATAAATTCTCGTGTCCATCCGTCCATCCCTGTTCATATACAAGGAAGGCAGGATCAAATTGTAATAAGATTATGGTTTTATTTCCTAAAATTTTTAGTTTTTTAGATAATTTAATAATTTTCTTTATTTTTTTTTATTGATTATTTAATTTAATATTTTTTGAAATTTTATAACTTCATACCTTCTAAATTTATAATATTATTTTTTATGTTTGTATTTTCTGACATAAAATTCTACTGCTATATATATACATGTGTGTGTATATATATATATTTGTATTTGTATTTGTATTTGTATTGATTTCAATATATTTATGTTATATAGATATTGAGATACATATATATTAATCAAAATTAATAAATTATAAAATTAGAAATAATTTGAAATTAAGTATAGGGGCTAAAATTAAAATGTAAACATTGGTAGAAGGAGCAAAACCTTATTCGACCTGTATACATACTTTGAGTTCTCCAATCTCCACACCTTCGTTGGACTAATATCCAATGGGCAAAAGAGTCCACGAACTAGAGAATTGGCCCATTGTAGAGCTACACACACTATATCGTATGAATTTATTGGGCCATATTCAAGGTCAGCTCGGTTTTTTTTGACCCATTAGGCTTTGCGGAAAAATTAATTCGAAATTTATTTTGCAATCTATGGAAAATGCTACAGTGTAAGGAAAAATTGTTATGTCGACGTGACGAGTTTACCTAAATAATATTTTTTAGTCGACGTAACGAATTTCAATAAAATTTATTTTTTTATTAGAATTTATCACATGGGGTGAAAAGTTTGAATTAAAAAATGGTTTAATATTAAAATAAGTGTCGAAACTATACCGTTTTTCTCAAATAGGTGCCTAAACTAATTTTCTTCTCATTCAGGTGCCTAATGTTACAAACATTACCCATTTAGGTGACTGGGATGGTAGCGGTGTTAATTTTCCCATTAAATGACACATGTCACAACCTGATAATTTTAAATTTTTTATTTAAAATTAAAAATATATTTTTAAAAACAGAAAACACAAATTTTGAAATAAACCCAAAACCTTGAAAACCTTCATTTCAATCCCCAAACCCTCGCCGACCGCCGCCTTTTGCTGTTGATGAAGCTCTACCCAACCTCTCCTACTCTCTCCAACCAAAAGCCCTATAAAATCGTGATCGATCGGCGACGAATCAACGTTTTAAACCGCCCGAACCCTAGGATTAAAATTACAATCCCATACGATTCCTAAGACCAATCAACAGAAATTAAGACGGTGTATGAGTAGGAGGATGGCAAAGACTACGTCGGTGACGGTGGTCATGACTGGAAAGGGCGACGACGATGAATTAAGGTTTGGGATTGGGATTTGTGGCTGTTTTATAATATTAGAAAAGTTAGTGTTTTTTTATAAATATCGTAATATTTTTAATATTTTATTTTAAAAAATAAATTTCAAAATATCAAATTGTGACACGTGTCACTTAACAACATAAATTAATGTCGTTAACAGCCCGGACACCTAAATGGGTGATGTTTGTAACGTTATGCACCTAGATGAAACAAAAATTAGTTTAGGCACATATTTAGGAAAAGCAATATAGTTTGGGCACTTATTTTGGTATTAAGCCTAAAAATATATATATTTTATTAAACTTAATTTTTATATTTTTAGAATTTTATAATTACTTAATAATAGAGAGATATTTTAACCAAATTGCAAGGGGTTAAAAATAATAAGATTAGAGAATTTGAATTAAATCTATAAGTTACACGTAATATATGAATTGATAGTGAGATTCGACTTAGACTTTATAATTATTATGATACAAACATGTCGCACATTCAATCTGTAAGAGATTATAATTCTTCTGTTGATGAACTGTTGATGCTCCGGCACAAAAGCCGGGCTTTGCCGAACGACCGGACGAAATGGAAAGGAGAAAGGTAATAGATGATGAAAAACAGATGGAGAGTACTAGAGTTTTTACTAACTGTAAAAAATGGCTTACAATAGATGCACTTTAACCCATTATAATAGGAGGCTTATATAGTCCATTAAGCCTTGATAACAAACTAACCAAAGTGTAACTACCTAATAAAAAAAATAACAAATATTAATTAATTCTATCAACATTTTAACATTCACCCTACTTCTTCAACATTCTTGATGTAAAGATTAGCACTTGAGTTGGTTCTTGATGTGCTTACTCTTTATTTATCATTTTGTCATCGAGAATCAAAAGTGCTATGCCTCCTTTCGTTATGCTTGAACTGAAAGTGTGATGTCTTATTCCGTTCTAAATAATGTGTATTTTAAGTAGAACAGAAGGAATCATCACACTTTCGATTCAAGTAAAATGGAAGGAAGTATCGCACTTTCTGTTTAAGTGGAACGAAAGGAAGCATCGCACTTTCGATTCAAGTATTCATATTTTTTATATCAAGAAGGTCAAAGAAGTCGGGTCAATGTTAGATAAAACAAATAGTTGTTAGGTTGTTAAGATTTAGTCAGCTAAGTGGTTATCTTGGTGGTGTTGTGTTTTGTCATGTTAGAAGAAGATTGGAAGAAACGTGGAGAATATTATGATTTAAGCACATGTGTGTATGAGCAGTTTTAGTTAACTGTTGTTCTTCAGTTAAGTACGCAGTTAGAAAGTTGTTAAGTTGTTAGCTCTTACTAATCGTTCTATTATAAGGTTATAAAAGTAGTTTTCTTGTATGAGTTCAATGTTGTATTTGTTCAATGAAAAATGATTCATATTCTTTGTTTTATTATAATTTAAAGTAGCTCTGATACCATGATGAACTATTAATGTTCTGACATAAAGACCGTACATTTTTAAACGATAGTACGAAATGGAAAGGAAAAAGACAATAGATAATGAAAAAACAAATGGAGAGTTTATTTTTGTACTAATTGTAGAAAATAGTTTACAATAGATGCACTTTAATCCATTCTAATAAAAGACTTATATAGTTCATCAAGTTTTGCTAATAAACTAACCTAAGTGTAACTACCTAATAATAAATATTAACTAATTCTATTAATATACTAACATCGGTTAACGTTGGATTGTGCGAAAAAGTTCATACTAAAGACTCCTTGTAACATTAAATTTTTCCTATATAATAAAGATTATGATTATTATAAGAAGAAACTTTAGAATTTATGTAAGGATTCTTAGTTGCAAACCCTTATAAATTTTGATTGCAAAACATCATCTTGATTAATTCAGATCACTCTAAGTCAGACACTTAATTTTAATGAGTAAATATTTAATCGGAGATGTTTTACGTAAACAAAAACTCAAATTTGATAATTGTTTAAATAATATTAAATTAATTATCACTTAATCTAATCAGTTGGTACTTTTAATTTTGTTTGCTTTACTCATCGTTATATATAGGATTATAGTAATGAGATAAACAGATATTTTGACATTTGTGCAGTAGAAAAATGTGGAAGCACTGAATATGCAGGAAAATCAGAAAGCACACAGTCTGTCTCTTCCAATGAAGGGCAAAAAGATAAACTTTGTACAATTACTTTCAAAGTCTCTGATGTATTACCAGCTTCATGATCTCCATGAATGGGTTACCCAAGCTAGGGTAAGCTAACTGGTATACTATCATCTACCGCCAGAAATGACCAGAGATTTGGCAGTGACAGCCGTTGATGAAGGCATCAATCATGCAAGCAGGAGAATGTTGACTGTTGACCATTTTCCTCCTTTATTGAAAATTTAACCATGGATAATAACATAAACACGTCAAGCTTTGTTCTTTTAACCTTGCTTTGGTTAGTGTAGAAATGTCCAGATTTACAATCCAGCGATAAAGACAAGGACCAATCTTGAATTAATCAATCACATTTTACTTAAAGATCACGTAACTCGTGCCTTTAGCAAATCAATAATGGCCTTTTTCGGACCGTATTAACTTGACTGAATCATCTCATTCTTATCTTATCCTATCATAGACTAATATATCTGGCACCAGACTTTGATATCCTTAATTCCTTAAACCCTGTTTTTTTTATATAAATAATTTAGAGTAATTAACACCGAAATTAAAAAAACATATTTTTTTTTTCTAATTTAATCTTTTTTTAAAGCTCGATATATCTTGATTCACGGATAGCAGACATATCTTAATAATATATTTATATTAAAAGGAGCTTTGCACTATTAACAAAGTTACTGTTCACGTATACTCAGATTTCAAGTACACTAGGCGGCTAGAAACTTCGCCAGCTGCTCTTCGTACCATTCCCATTCCGACCCACGCACCTGTCCCTCGCACGCGCCGCCGTCCTCCGCTTCCAGCCACTCTCGAATCCCGTCCAAGGCACACCCAGGTTTAGCATTAGCGTTCGAAATCCCACCCATGTCGACGCTCGCCATCACGCTGGACTCCGATTCCGAGAACGACGACCCGCAGCTCTCTTCGTTGCCGTTGATGGTTATGTACGAAGACGACGACTGAAAGATCAACGCCGACGAGTACGGGTTGTCGCTGAACTTAACCCTGGTCCCGTACGACGTGGGGGTAAAAGTGTATGAAGTAGCCGAGACGGTCGCTTCCGCTGAGTCGTCCAGGAGCTTCAACAACTCGCTCATCGACTCGGTCTCGCACTCGCTGCTTTCGTCGTTCAGCTCAGTAGTCTCCGCCTCTCTCCGCCGTTTCAGCGCCGGAGTCTCCATGGAAATATTAGTTCTGTTCAAAGAGAAGAGGAAAGATGAAAAGAGAGAAGACCTTACGGTATTTTAAGCAACGACGTACAGAGGAAGGCTATGGAAATTTGATTTTGATGTAATGACAGATGCATTTAATGCCAGACGTTGATTCGATGTTTAAGAAAAAAGTGTCTTACTTAAAAGACACGGCGGAGCATCTTTTGAACTCCATGTGCCAAAAAGGAAGCGCCACGTGGAAGTTTCCGCTTACGTGGCAACAGTGGCTTTGCAGAAAATGGCGGGAAATCAGCGAGGGGACGGATGAAACACTTGTCATTACTTTTGGTCGCTCAACAGCATGGATTTTTATGATTCGAAAAGGTTTAATTTTTCTTACAGTCCTCCTACTCTTTGGTTTTTTTTAATTTAATGCCTTCACCTTTAGTCCCGAGGTTTGGCGACTTTAGTCCCTTCAATTGTTTGATTTAAAATGTAGAATTCTATTGACACTTTTCTTTATAACTATCATTATTTGATCTATTCAAATAATATAGACCTTTATTTTAAAGACACCATGAAAAACCAATAAACAAAGCTTAATACCCGAACATGTTTTTTTTTATAAATAAAAGAACAAATTACTGTAAATTAAAGTAGAAAGATTAAATCGATAATCTCGATATAGAAGGGACCAAAACTAAAATAAGACCATTTTCTTTTAGATGTGTAAAACGTGGGAGCATGGGCCTTCGCAGAGCAACAAAAGAACAAACGCTGATGATAAACATGAGTTGAATTTTTTGGTTAACGCTTTCACTTTTTTTTTTTCATTTCTCCTTTTCATGATATAATAAGGCCAAAACACATAATCCATGTCCAATGCTTTAATTTCAAAACATTAAAAGGAAAAGGAGAGAAAAAGCAAAATACAAGAATTATTGGCATCATAATTCATGACAGTGACTTGCAATGCAGCCCATGGTGGAATGGGAACAATGAAAAATAGAGTTTTCATGGGATTCAATGGTTCTTTGAGTTCAACAGTGTTATGATCAGTGTCCAGCTGCACCAATAACAATGTTACAACCATTTGTCTAAATGCATCTATGCCTGAAAATCTACAAATCACCAACATGGCACCTACAAGAGCTAATCAACCCCATTTCTGCATCCTGCTACGGAGATTTGTTAGAGTTGATATGGAAAGATTCGGGCCTTCGTCCTTCTGGTCGACCCTGTCACTCATGGTTTGCCGGCGCATGAAATGACATGGGACTTGAATTTCTCTAGCTCTGCCAAAACCTCTTCCTCTGGTCTGTAGATCAGATCACTCATGCGCCATATCTGCATATTATCATGGAGATTATTGATAATTGTAATCTTATGCATTTGCTTCAGCTTTATTGAGACAAAACAAACAGTTTTAAGGAGAGAAGATAATCCATGGGGAAATCAGGGTGTGGAAGCCAATATGTGAATGAAAGCTGTTCTAAAAGATGAGTTGCAACAACCCGGAGTAACTTAATAACCAAAAGTGAAGGAATGTCATTACAAGCATGCACTTGCAATACCCTTTGATTATGTAAGTAAAATGTTTTGCAATCTATAATATGCAAAGTAAAGGCTCTTGCACATTGCTCTAGACTTGCAATACCTTCACTCTTACAGTGTTCATTTAAATCGTCTTTAGAAAAAACAGTTCACAAAACCTAGACTGGAAACTGGTAGTTATACCTGTAATGTCCCTCCTCCACCGGTGGTGTCACAGTCATCAGAAACACTAACAATGGTCCACGGATCAGATGCATTCCAATGGAAGTCAACAATTTTGTCCCTGTAAAGAAGTCGAGAGATTGAGAAGGTTTGCAAACAAATCAGGTACTATGGAACACAAGCATCATTGAGGAAACCAGTTTAATGGTGCGAGTTTTAAATGGATAGAGATAGCACAAGAAGAAGAAAACAAAGAGGAAAAGAAAACAGATGAAAGAATGTGAAATGCGTATATAGATGAAGCATAGATCGTGAACTTCACAAAAGAGTCCAAATTCATGATATGTATACTGGAAACAGTTGCAAACCTGTGGCCAGCATGCTGGAAAAAGAGTCCCCCAGGAGTAATAGGAGATTTTGAAGGCCGATCCACCTTTTTGCCAACCTGCAATAGAGATGAGCAAGTAAAATCGACCCCAATATCAAGTAGTGTCAAGTATATGGCTATTACAAATCCGATAAGCAATATATCCAAACCAGCTCTTGGAGGCAATGTCTTTATCCATGTTTTACATAAAATATAAAAAACAAAAGTAAAACATGAGGGAAAAAGAAGAAAAGGATGCTGAAGATGGAGAAATTGGCAATCTTAGAAAGATATAAACCACAATTATCAATTCATGCAAACCGCATGAGAGTTCAGTTTCCTAAATTGACTATGGAAATCTAAAAACATTTCCATGCAGAAATTATTCATGCGAATTGTAAAAATGGGCAGGCAGCACTAAATTACTACAGAGTTCAACATAACTGTATGGTCATGTGTGTTCAGTGTTAAGCATACAAACATATCACGTATAAAAAAGCAATTAACTGAAGAATGTTCAAGCAGTCACACCTTGTCAGTGTCCCAAATGTTTAAGAGACCATCCTCGGCAGAACTACCAAATACAGATGACTTGTCTGGAGACCACTGGACCATGAGAATTATAAATTTTGGTAAGAACGAATACGTGATTAAACACTAATAATCACATTTGTAGTAAAAAGGAAGTAAAGCATAAGAAATTACTGTGTTCTTTCAGACCTGAACACATAGAACAGCAGCTTTATGACCCTCAAACTTATAAATTGGTGATCCAACTCCATTAGAAGTGAGATTTCTTCGATCGAACAAACGAACAGTATTATCAGCAGACCTGAGAGATAAAAAAAGAAGAAGGCAAATGATGTTTCATCATTTACCATCAATAACATTGCAAAACATGCTCATCGTGTGTCAGACTTCAATGCCAAAAAGAAAGTGCAAAACTTAAGGAAACATGGATGGAGATATACCCAGTTAGGATAAGATTATCATCATGGCGGTTCCAATCAACACAATGAAGATCAGCATCATGTGCCTTTTCAACCTGCCAACAAGAAGCCAATAATCTACCTTATTATCCATATTCAAAATTACATTCATTGTTTGTGTAAAGGAGATATAACTAGAATAAGAACAGCAACCAAACTTTCAACTAGTTTGTGTAAAGGAGAAGCCGCATCGCTTTCCAGCTCCGACGACGTAAAAGAGAAAAAAAATGCAGGTACAATAACGATGCTACCTAGTTGACTGGTTCATATCACACCATCCTATGCACTATAAACTATAAACCATTTTACAAATGTTGATCAAAAGCCTAGATGGAGCTACATTACTCTGCCCCCCCGGGGGAGGATCTGCAGCAGTTACTATTATTAAATATAAACTAATAAGAATTACCTTGACAGAGGGGCTAGTGCCAACTCGTGCATCCCATAATATGAGGCAGGAATCATCACCTACACTACAAAACTCCTGTGCACTACAGCATAAATAAAAAATGTGAGAAATTAGATACCATAGGACATAGAAAGTAACAATTAGAAAGCAATTACTACTGTCGAAACGAAACCGATGATAAAGCCAATTGAGTGTTTGTGTGAAAATTTCAAGAATTGAACTCGAGACGAAATAAATAAAGAATTAAGTCCATATATATTTTATTAAAGAGAAAGCAGCTACCTGGATGGAGAGAACGCAACATCTTCAACTGTATCTTCATGCCCACAGAAGATACCACGAGGACCTACAGAAGGCCCATCAGCTGCTTTATCATTACCTTCCCCAGGCTTGTTCTGTTTGATGATTGATCCACCAGATATGTGGTCCTGGATGCTCCACAAAACCACTAATTTGTCCTTCCCTGTCATAAAAGTCCTCCGATTACGAAGAAAAAAACTCATCATATGCATGAATTCAGTTCTGTTGGCCTACTTTTAAAAATGAAAAAGTAATCCCCTTAGGACTTGGAACAAGTATCTGCAATGTCAAAGTAAAGTTAAGCACTAGAACAGAGTAAAACATAGAGTCCAATCTGCCACTTCTAAATGAGATGAAGCGATATCATACATACCATATATTATACATGGAAAAAAGACATTCAATTCCCAAGTTGAAAATTTTAACATGATTAACACTCTTTAATGGGAAGAAAATGAAGTCACAATGTCTCATTTGATCATACCAAAGAGAAGATCATCATTTCCAAGTGGGTTTCAGTACAAAATATCAATAAAACCATACGGTTAATGTAACTATGAAATTTCCCAACCTCCAGAGATAACATAGGGTTCACTGGGACACATTGCAAGGGCAAATTCAGCATTATCTTGATGTCCAGTCAAAATCTGTCAAAAAGGGAAAAAAGGTCATCAACAAAAAATGGTTCCTCCACCACCCCCCTCCTCAGAGAACACATACATACACATTAGAACAGAAATAGCTTTTACGATTACAATACATATAAATAAACATACCAAGTCCGGGCGAGAATGTGTAGCTCCAAGGACAGCATGACGGTTGGGTTGAGCTTCAACATCCCAAATAAGAACCTAGATTTAAGCAAGTCAAATACCAGGTGCACTTGTAACATCTTTACAGAAAGAAAATGTGATAGGAATATTGATTTCACATAATTAAAAAAACAGAAATAACAAGAGTCTTACATCTGGACTATCAGTGTGTGTAGCAATAATCTTAGAGTTCTGTGGAAGTTCTCTGATTCTGTTCACCTGCAAGATAGTATTTGGCAGTCACAATATATAAACTACCAAATGAAAAACAAAGAGGAAATGATAAATCGATAATAATTAAATTATATTGCTATATAAGCAAAATATCTATTTCCGAAGATGTCATTCGACAGAAGCAAAGACTATATTTCGATTTCCATCTCGAAACTATCAACTGTCAAATCAAAATATCATTTATTTTACATGATTGAGTTCCAAAAAAAACTGTTAATGGATAAGTCAACCAACAGGCAACAACTTTACCAAAAAGTCAAAACACATTTTTGTAAGAATGTGCAAGATTCATACCTCTCCGGGATGTATGAGGGTCTTGTACTTCTT